GTTCTCGGCCCCAGCGGCAGGGAAGGTGTTTGTTGGGCGTGGCCCGGGCTTGCCTTCTAGGCCAGCGGTCCCCAGCCTTTTTGGCACCAGGGACCGGTTTCGTGGAAGACCATTTTTCCACGGACTGGGGGCCGGGGGCGGGGGCGATGGTTCAGGCGGTAGCGCGAGCAATGCGGAGCCGCAGATGAAGCTTCGCCCGCCCGCCCGCCGCTCATCTCCTGCCGTGCGGCCCGGTTCCTAACAGGCCGCGGCCCGATACCGGTCCATGGCCCGGGGGCTGGGGACCCCTGTTCTAGCACACAGCACAGACTGGGGAAGGCGATTCGGCAGCCCCAGCAGAGCCTCACTGCTGTGCGGGCCTCTGACCCTCAGCTCCACTTCTAGAGACGCACCCGCAGGAGAGCATCAGAGAGGCTGCTGCAGGGCCCACGTGGTGACTTGAGAGCCTGGGCTCGGCGTTCACCTGAGTTTTGACTCTGGGCCCCGTCACTTCCTAGCTGTGTGCGGGGGTGGGGGTGGGGGGCCTCCTGCTTCCCCACCCCCGCCTCGATTCTCTGATGCTGTGAAAGGAGGGGCGGGTGGGGTGGAGGGAGCCTGAGCCAGCGTGTGGGCTGTGCTGGTCCATTGAGGCTTGCCGTCTCTTCTTGTGGTGGGAGGAGCAGCACGTCTGTTGGCTCTGGGACAGTAAAGGAGAGGGAGCTGCCTGAGACGGATGGCAGAGGCAGAGTTCCAGAAGGTTCCGGAGCCTCCCCCGGCCCCGGGAGCCTGTGTGATTGCCCAAGGTCAGCCTGCTGGAGGAGGGCTCAGTCTGGGCACGCCGGGGGCTGGGGAAATCAGGGTTTGAGCAAAGACCCTGAGGATGTGGCGCAGCAGCCACAGACGGCAATCTCCTTCCGAGTTCCTGCCGCAGCTGGGGCCCCGTGGTGCGGGGATGTGGGCGGGAGGCGGGGCAGGAGGTCAGGAAACCTCCCCCCGAATGCGCCGGCCGGGACCACCTCCCCTGGCCCCCTTGCGCTCGTTCTCTTCTCCAAACTGCTGCCACGGCTGCCTGCCCATCACCCTGAGAACTCAGTCGAGGCTCCTAGTGTCTCACCTGGCCCCCCTTGCCAACCTCCTCCCCCCTCAGCCTTCCCAGTTCCTGAACTTTCCGAAGTCATGGCTGCCGAGGGCCTCTGTGTGGGCTGTTCCTCCACCCAGACCCCTGTCCTCTGCTCAGAAGACAGCCTTCTCGAGCCTTCTCGGCTGGCCCAGCCCCCCTCCATCTCAGCTCAGATATCTACCTCCCTGACCCCCAGTCCGAAGAAGCCCCCTCTCAGCGCTCAGAGACGTGGGCTGACTTAGAATTTTAGCCTAATTTGATGGGTAGAAGCTTCTGCCATAGGGCCTAAGAGGTGAATTGTAAAGATGCGGTTGCAGGGAGGTCTGTTTGGCTGCAAGTCTGTAGAAAGCATTTTAAACATCCACGCTGTCTGTTTGCAGAGATTCCACTGTGATTTAAAACCCTGAGTCTCAGAGCCTGTGGCCCTGCAGTGGGTCTGGGGACCTCCTTGTACACAGGACAGAGCAGAGGGATTGAGTGCAATCCGCAGACACGTTCTCTTTGGTCCATGATGGGTTTTGAAATAAATTTAAATTAGTTGCCAGTGTTGAAGACGTGGAAGATTTCATGAAGTGGATTTCAGCACTTTTATAGAAAGCTCTTTAGATCTGATCCCGCTGGGCCCACGATCCTGAGTGGCAGCCGCTGGCTGGCCCTCCTCGGGGACAGTGCAGTCAGTCCCCACTGGGCCCACTTCCTCTGTGTTCTGCAGCTAGGAGAGCACGGGTAGTCGAGTGAGGTGTGTGATCCTGGTGTCTTGAGAGTGACCATCACCTTGTCCTGGACAGAGGCCCGTAATTATGTTTCCTTCCTGGTGAAAGAGGGTGGGGTCACTTCCAAGGCCCTTAGCATAAGTGGCCACTTCACCTGCATCTCAGCTCCGGGAGCAAGGTTGGCTGAGAGATGAGATCCCAGGCAGAGGGACCCGCACTCTGCAGCCCATGCTGCCCACATGGCGCCCAGGACTGGGCCCCCCGTCAATTTTGCTTCCTCTCCTGCAGGGCCAGGCCCCTCACCTTGTCCACTCCTTCCTGAGCCCACAGAGGAGGCTTCTGGGAAAGGATGACTCATGCACTCCCCGAATTTCCAAGCTAGAAAGGCGCTGGGAGAGCGCCTTGGGCCGGACCAGAAATAGCCGTAACCATTGGGTCTGACCTTGCCCCTCCTGTGCTGTCAAGTTCTGCTTTGGTAAATAGATGCTGCCCTTCAGACCAACCACCTGAAATGTTGCAAGATACAGTAACTTGTTTCCTTTTCCTCTGAATTTTTATTGATTGTAAACTCCACTGTTAATGATAATAAAATAAAAAGGGGCGGTTATCTCGGTGCCAGCACTGTAATACATTTCTATCTCCTTTTTCAGTCCTTTTTCACGTGTATACGTGATTGTAATTATAGTACAATTAAAATTCACTCACTTCAGTATTTCTAGCACCCAAAACAAGAGGTTGGCCTGCAATAGGATTCAGTAAGTATTTGTTGATTGTGGAATATTTGTTTGACTATAAAGTGAGCATTTTTCTAATTGCATCATACACTGATTACCATTACATCAAGTTGTTAGAATATATTTGCCACTTTACTATATTTAGATTTTTTTCCCCTATTTTTCAGGACGATAACTAACGTCGTAGCGAGCGTTTTTCTCCACATAACTGTTTTTGACTGTTTGGAATTATCTTCTCAGAATAAATTCCAAGCATTTGAATTCTCGGATCAGAGGAGAGAAAAATAAGAATTATAGAAATTGCTTTCTAAAGTCTTATTTATCCCTATTGCCGGGATTGTTTGAGAATATTAGTTTTATCTTAATCTCATCTGCTTTGGGGTTATAATTTTCAAATTTTTGCTTATTTTGTAGTATAAGCAGGTACCTAATTGTATTGATTCGCCTATCTATACGTGCGGTTATTAGTATGGGTTGAAGAATTGTCTAAGCACTTAATAATAATACTTCCTCTTGTGTGCCATGCCTATTTGAGTAGTTTGTGTATCTATTAGAATATAGATTTTTAGTTGGATTTGGGTGAATTTATCATACAGATATGATTAACTCAATTTTCCTATCATAGTGGCTGCAAACATTTTCCTAGTGTGTGATTTTCCATTTTTAATATCCAGTGAGTCATTATAGGTGTCATTTTCTGTTCTTTGGAGAGTCTGTGAGTGTGGTTGCCAGAAGGACCTTAGAGATCTAACCTGACCTCAGTGTCTGACGGGGACTCTGGCCCAGAGAGCAGAGACCACAGCTCACCGGCCCTGCTGGCGAGAAGGGGCCAGGGCTACCCTGGCCCTGGCCCAAGACTCCTTAGTCTGTGTTGCCACCTGAGCTCCTAAGACTCCCTGTTGCTCTCCTGGCCCAGAAAGTTCTTTTGAGCTGAGGTGTATGCGTCTCTGTTTTGGACCAAGGCGGGCTTTGTAGGACTTTCCGAAGGGGGGCGGTTGCCACTCCAGTGACACGGAGCCAGCCATTCCATCCTTCCGACTCAGGGCATCTAAAAATATCCCGGGCTGGGGAATTTGGAGGAGCCCGTAATCGATTTGTGAACATGAAGCTCTTAACGGGCAGTGAATGCAGCTTTGATATTGAATTACCCTCAGAAGATGCATTCGTTTCACAGTATCGGCAGCCACCTGTCTGCCAGGTGTTGTCCTAGATATTTGGGGTCTGTAGAGGTGGAGGATAGGGGCAGTGCCCAGGATCAAGTTGGATTCTTACATCAGGAGGGCTTTAACTTACTGCTTAGCTGTCTGCCCATCGTCATAGGGGAGGGAGCCCCAGAATTGGCAGGTGACCCCTGAACTGACCAGCAGGAGACTGGTTTAGAAGCCAAGATCCTAATCCCAGCTCTGCCTACACCGTTGACTTCCCGACTCTTAGAGCGTGTTCACGGTCAGGTCTGGTCATCCATTCAGCAAACGTCCAGTGGGCCCTTAGTTAGGTCTCTGTGCCGGGCACTCGCATGGCTACCAAGGTGGCTGAGGCATGGTCCGACCCTCAGGGGATTGTACTTCGGTGGGACAAACAGAAATGCCCACATCTACCTGTGAAACAAGCAGACTTAGAAATGAGTGTAAGTAAAATGCCAGTGGGGCCACACAGGAATCAGTAAATAGTTTGCACAGGGTTTGAGTGAAGCTTCTCAGAAGAGATGGCACTAAGCCGGGCCTCGAGGGATGAATAGAACTCCGGTTGGGGCTGAGGGAGGAAGATGGGGGAGAAGGGAGAGGACCGTCCAGGACCCTCCGCGCCACGACTGCAGGGGGCGCGGGTTCAGTCCCTGGCTGGGGAACCAAGATCCCGCATGCTGCGCGGTGCGGCCAAAAACCAATGAAAATCATTTTTTAAAATGTGCCAGCAGATCTTGTGTCTGGTGAGGTGCTTAAAAAAGAAAAGAAAGAAACCATGGGAGGGTTTAGGGGGATGATGAGAGGGGACATATATCCGACAGCCAGGAAGGTGCTGGGTCTTGAGTGGGAAAATGCTAAGAAAGGAACCCGGGAAGGAAGAGACGTGGGCCTTGGAGACTCGTGTGCTTAGCGTGTGCCTGACGACACCGTCTTCAGTGGTTGGTGACCCAGCAGGAGTGGGCGGCAGACGGCCATCTGCGGTGATTTCTGTTCTGACTGGCCTCAGCCTGGTCGGCCAGAGTCGGGAGAGGGCCGGGGGGTGCAGCCCCCTCGAGGTCTCCTTGCTTAGTTCGGAGAAATCCTGACGGATGGTGTGTGTTTGTTCATTGTTTGCCCACCATATGGGCAGTAGGAAGATGACGTCAGCAGACAGGTGGCCCAAATTCTGGAAGTTTGGAGCCTCTTACAGGGCATTCGTGCCCTAATTCTTTACCGTTATATGAACAGAAGCTCTCGTGGTGATGATGACGTGTCTCTGCTTCCATTCCAGATGCCTTAGGGCCCCGTGGGCCGCCCCAGAGGACTCAGTCCCGGTGGCCAGCGGCTCCCAAGCAGCTCACGTGCGCTCAGCCTCAGGCTCCCGCTGACGCACCTGGGAACCTCGCTCACCAGCCCCCACCTGGCATCCTTGCCGGCAGTGCCCCCCACCCCCCCCAGCCATGGAGGCCCCCGAGGTCCCCGTGGGCTCGCTGATTGACTTCGGGGCCGGGGCCAAGCCATCCACCTCCTCGCCCCTGGGGATGCTGTCCCCAAAGCTGCAGGACGGGGACAGCTCCCCGGGCGAGGGTGCGTCGGAGAGTGAGACCACGGAGTCGGCCGACAGCGAGAACGACATGGGCGAGTCGCCCTCGCACCCCTCCTGGGGCCAGTGCCGCCGCTGCTCTTCCAGCGAGTCCTTCTCCTCCAACCAGAGCACCGACTCGGCCAAGGATGCGGAGCTGCTGGAGCTCCGGGAGTTCATGCGCGGCTACGTGGAGAAGATCTTCTCCGGAGGGTGAGCCCCTCGCAGGGCGCCACCGGCCGGGGCTCCAGGCCTCACAAGCTGCTGGGCCCCTCGCGTCTCCGCCCCACCCCAGTGCACGTAGGCCCCCTTGGGGAGCTTCTGCCACTCCCTCCCTCCGCTCAGGGCCCTGGCTTTGCTCCCGCGGCACCTCAGGTGAGCCCCCACGGGCACGCCTTCAGAGGTGGTTGTTAGCTGGCAGTGACTTAGGGGCAGTACAAGGCCAGGAGGTTTCAGTTACCCGCAGCCCTTGGGACGCTCTCGGGCAGCTGAGCCTTAAGCAGCTGCTAGGACGGGGACCCACCCTCGCACCTCTTTCTGGCCTCGCGTTGGTGGTTCTTGACAGTGCAAACAACGAGCAGTGACAGTGGTAGCACAGGTGGGACCTGGAGTGAGAGCGGAGGCCGAGGAGCCGGGAATCTGACTCACGGCTGTGGCGTCTCAGCAGCGGAAAGGGGAGCATGCCGCAAACTCGGTTCAGGCCTCAGGCCTTGACGGCTGGTCTTGCATCGTTCACAGCGGTGCGCGAAATGCTGGCGGTCCTGCCCCTCAGGTCGTCTCTGGGACCCGCAGCATCAGCATCGCGGGGCGGGGGGGCTGAGAAATGCAGAGTCGTGAGCCCCACCTGACCCACGGAGTCAGCACCTGCATTTCAGTGAGGCCTCTACCCGTGCACACATTGCGGCCTGAGGCGCTCTGGCTGAAGGGACCCTTTTCCAATGTCTAAAGCGTAAGAAGAATTTCCGCTTGTTGACGCCACGCACCGAGGATGTTCCTCCCTGCTGAGGTTTAGGCCCCTGGTTTGTTAACTGGCAAGGTTGCTTTCCACCTTTCCCAGGTGTGCCTCTGTCTTCTCTGCAGTTAGAAGGGGGAGGAGTTCTAGGATCCTAATATTTGACTGTCCCCAGACTGCTTTTATGTTTGATTTTGAATGCATTCTGGGAGAGCGGTAGATGTGGCTTCCTACTCATTTTGTTTGACTGACACCGAAATTAGTCAGCTTTTTCTGAGTACACCCAGTTCATGCAAAGGGGAGAAAGCCCAGAAGCTCACTAATTTGCCGGGAAGGCCAGTCTAGATTTGTGACAGGCAGTCGGCAACATGGAACGTGGACAAGTAAGTCAGATGCCTCTTTAAGAGCTTTCCACAACTCCCTGCAAACGCCCGGCAAATTCTCACATGTCATCTGGTGTCGGTACTTGGGATAAGTGAGACCAAGATGTTTTCTATAAAACCTTAAATGAATGAAACTGCAGAAGCCAGTGGATCCTCAGCCTCCTGCTTCCCCCTTTTAGTCGTTACATTTGGGGTAGAGTACTGCCCCCCCCCCCCACGAAGATGATTGGAAGTGGTTTGAGATCAAGTGAGCATGTTGTCCACCCTGGCGGGGGTGACCCCCAGGCCTGGGGTTCCCCGATCTTCACCCCTCACACAGAGCCGTGGAGAGTCAGAGAGCAGACCGGCTCTTCCGAAGTGCAGAGGAATAAGCAACCGTGTCCTCCTCCTGATGGCTGGAGGTGGTGTCAGACCTCTTGCGTTTCGTGGCCCCAGTGGGTCCTGCTGAGACTGAGCACATTAGGAATTCCTGAATCCAGTCGATGGCTCCGTGCCGACCTCAGCAGCAAAGATGGGGGGCGGTAGGATGAGCTGGAGAGCCAAGCCCTCGCAGAGTTATGGAACCCTTGTGAGTACCCAGACCTCACTGAGGCAGGAGGTCGGGGGAATGCACGTGGGCTTTGGAGCCAGGAGGTCTGGATGGGGCTCCCACCTGCCACTCCCCAGCTGTGTGTGATCCTCCGAGCCGGGCTTCTCATCCTGGAAACAGAAGTAATAGTGTTTCCTCTCGGGGTTGCCCGGAGGCTGAGATGAGCGTCCGCACTTGGCCGGGGCGAGTTACCGTCGGGGTTCCGTGGTGCGGATGCCGAGGGCCGACCGCACTTAGGAGTTCCTCTCCTTCCTCTTTCCCTACTGTAGCCATTTTTGTTGCAGAGGATTAAAGCTTTCCTGTCTTTTCCCTTTGCCCGCTTTTCCAGAGAGGACTTGGACCAGGAGGAGAAAGCCAAGTTCGGAGAGTACTGCAGCAGTGAGAACGGAAAAGGCCGGGAATGGTTTGCCCGGTACGTGAGCGCCCAGGTAAGAGGGGTGACGTGGGGCTGTGGTGTGGGGCAGCCCACCCGCTCTGGAGAAGGGAGTTGAGGAAAATGATCCCACCGGAAAAAGAGTAAAGCTCGTCTAGAGATGTTATAAAGTCTAATTAGAATAGTGGAAGATGCCCCGCTAGAAAGGAATGCTGGGCTGTCAACCTCATGAAATTCCAGAAAAGTTCGCTTTTTTAAAGACCAGCGCATGGGCTATGTCCACACATGTTTTTATTAAATAACCTACAATATTCCATTTTTGTAAAGATAAAATATTCAAGAGAATGACAGCCATGTATGTAAGCTCAGATAAACAGTAAGTTTTAAAAACAGCCAGTAGGTTCTTTTTATTTTTTTCCTGTAAAGTGGATTAAGTTCTTTGTTTTTAAAGTATTTTTTGGTCACAAATAATTTATTCTTCCAAGAAAAATTAGAAAATACAGATAAGCAAAAATAGAGAAACTGCCCATACCTCACCCACCCAGAAAACAGCCAGCATTGTCATCTTGGGGTCCCATCCCTCTGTAGTTTCCCACACGTGGGTGAGCGCGCGAAGCTCCTAGTTTTAAAAGTCTCACAAGGAGACGCAGGAAACACCTGAGTGATGGTCGGGGGTGGGGCAGCCCTCTGCTGGGTCCCGGTCTCTGGGTAGCAGGGCCTGTCCTGGGCTCGAGCCCCAGCTGTGTTTAGAGATGCTGGGCGGGGTGAGCACGCAGCCCCTCTGAGCTGGGTGCACCTCCTCCAGCGGCCGCCTGACGCGGCTGCCCTCTTCCCGGACAGCGCTGCAACTCCAAGTGCGTCTCGGAGGCCACCTTCTACCGCCTGGTGCAGTCCTTCGCGGTGGTCCTATTTGAGTAAGTGATGCTGCGGCTTAGCGCCTCCGTCCTGACCTCTCGTCCTCCCTCCCTCCCCACCTGGGAGACCCCAATCGTGAGAACCAGACGCATGCGTCATCAGCTCAATTGCTCCCCTCCCCCACCACCTCCCCTGCCCCGCGGCGGCAGCATTGTCTGGAAGTCGTGACCAGTATCCAGTATCTCGCGGGTGGGGGGCGGCGGCGGGGAGTGAGCGGTCCCCACCTGACAGCAGCGGGCCCCGGGACAGGCTGTGATTACACAGCGGCCCTGCCCTCCTCCAGCTGAGGTCTGGGGTTCTCTGGATTTCCTGTGGTGAAGTACTCTAAAACGGGTCACCGCCCACTAATGAGATGGTTGGGTGGCATCGCTGCCCTGAGGTCTAACGAGGCACCACTGGGGCCTTTTATCACCGAGGACAGCATGGGCTGGGGAGAAGGGCCCCCCACCTCCGTGTGGCCGGGGGGGCCGGCCACCTGCCTTGAGGGGCTCCTGCTGAGGCCCGCACATGGCTCTAGGACTCCTGACCCTCTTCCTACATCCTGTCGTGCATCAGAGCCGCACGCGCCCTCCGCAGTGTGAACCGGAGCGGCCGTGTCTACCTGGGGGATCGTGTGGGTGGGGGAAATGCGTGGGGCAGGGAGGGAAGCTCTGACCCTGATCTGACCTTCGGTTGAGCCCGCTTTCCCCCCTCACCTCAGTGTGGCCTCGGAGCAGGTCCTGGTCCCCTGGCTTAGGCCGTGGCCACTTCTCTGTGTCTCTGTGTCCTTCCAGGCCTGAAAACTCCTCCTTTCCTGTTCCTTCCCCTTCTTCTCCCAACAGAAATGTAGCTGCTCTCTTGATTTTAATTCCCTGTCTCGGTGTCTCCCCAACTTTCTCTGTCCCCCATGCACACGGGGCATGTACTAGAGGAAAATGGCCCAAAGAGAGGAGCCCCTGTTTTTTCCTGCACTTGCTCTCAGAATGTCCCAAGATCAGGGTGTGCTCCCCAGGGGTGGGGGCGGGGATCTGGGTCTGGGAGCTAGTGTGGGTGGAGGGACGAGAGGCCCTCACTGAGGTAGCCAAGGGCCCACGCTTGCTTGCCTCGGGAGCTTCAGTAAAAGAGCCCCAGGGGGTCGGGGGTCAGTGTGGTCTCCTGCCCCAAAGACCCTTTGACCTCGAGACGTTTGCATCCATAATTTTCAGGAACCTGTGTTTTGTGTAGATGGTGCCTGTCTGCATGGTAACGTGCTTATCTAATTCTCAATTTTTCTTCCAGTTTTTCCTTAAGTAAGCAAACTGGTAGGTGGTGGGGGGGGTGTAGTTAACCTCAAGTTCCAACCCTGCCAAAACACAGAATCTTTCATTACTTTGTCTGTGAGCGTATATTTTTTTTATGTGGTTGCAAAAAAAAAAAAAAAAAAAAAGAACTTACAGAAGTTTAGTTTTTTAGATTTATTATTTTTATGTCAAAAAGATAAACAAAAATGACCCTCATCCCACATCTAGATAATTTCTGTTGATTTTCTTTCTTTAAGTAACACTAGTCCAAGGTGAAAAACTAAACAGGAAAGGAAAGTACGTGAGGGAACAGGATGGAGAGGCACAGAAGCCTAAGAGGGAAAGGAGGTGTTCTTTCACACTCTCTTCTCTCACTTTTCGTCCATCTCTCAGTGATAACCGTCTTAATAAAGCACATACCAGCAAATAGATATTTTTTCTAAAAATGCAGTACTGGGCTTCCCTGGTGGCGCAGTGGTTGAGAGTCCGCCTGCCGATGCAGGGGACATGGGTTCGTGCCCTGGTCCGGGAAGATCCCGCATGCCACGGAGCGGCGGGGCCCGTGAGCCATGGCCACTGAGCCTGCGCGTCACATGCCGCGGAGCAGCTGGGCCCGTGAGCCATGACCGCTGGGCCTGCGCGTCCGGAGCCTGTGCTCCGCAACGGGAGAGGCCACAGCAGTGGGAGGCCCGCGTACCGCAAATAAAAAGGCAGTACTGTGCGTTTGCACTCAGTGCTGCGTCTGTAACAGCTGTGAGGTGTTCTAATACGTGAACGTACACATGCTCCATAATTAATTTGGCTCCTGCCCTGTCGATGGGCATTTAGCTGACTCCTCATTTTCTTCTCTAATTTGCAGCGCCACAGTGCACATCACCGTAGCTTCTGCCACTGTAACAGTACAAATTCTTAGTGGCAGACAGACCCTCTCTTTGAAGTGTTTCCCCCCTTTTTTGTTTGCTAAATTGAATGGATCCACGTATATCTCATGCTCTCAATGTAGTAAGTGTAATATAATATAGTAAGTATTAATATAATCCTTTATATTTGTAGGATATTGTTTAGCATAGCAAAGGTTCTGGCGCGTCATACTTTAATTTGATTTTCAGCAAGTGGTGTAGGGTACGTAGGTATTCATATTCCCAGTCATTCTCAGGGTGCTGTCCCTGGGCCAGGAGCCTCAGAGCATCAGCTTCCCAAGGCGGTTTGTTAGAAATGCACATTCTCAGGCCCTGCCCCAGACCTGCTGACCCAGAGACTCCGGGGTGGGCCCAGCAATCCACATCTTCACATGGCCTCCCCCACTCCCCCCTGCCAGGGGACTCTGCTGCTGCCCACATCGGGGGGGTGGGTATCATCTAAGCCACTGCTCATTCCTGAGAAGTAGGGGCTGGACGGGGCCAACGGTTTAAGCCTGAGACCTGAGGCCTGACCTCCAGTTCCGGGTCTGCTCCTTGGGGTAGGGCCCTGGCTATTCCACCTTGAAAGTGAAGGAAGCCAGGCGGGTGGATGGTGAGCGCCTTAGTGCCCTAAATCAGACCCGCTCCCAGGCCGGGTGCCTGGACCCAGGGGAGTTCTTTCTGTGGCTTCTCCTCTGGAGTGTCTGGGGAGTGAGGTACTAGCTTAGAGGTGTCTGTGGAACATGCTGGTCTTGTCTCAGGAACGTGCAGAGAGGACCCGGTGGAAGGATCTGTTAGCCAGTCACCTCTCTTTCCATTTCAGGTGTCACCAGATGGACGACTTCGGGCCTGCAAAGAACCTCATGACCATGTGCTTCACCTACTATCACATCGGTGAGACCCGGGGTGCGGCTTACGTGGCAGGCAGACCTGTCACCTTCCAACGCCACGTCAAGTGGGGATTTCTTAAGGCAGAGCTGCGAGGCATCCAGAAAACAAAGGGAGCTGATATCAGGGCGGGAACAAGGAGGAGGGAGACCCCTAGAGCGGGAGGCGAAGAACGGTCCACAGCGTGGGTCAGGAGGCTGACGGCCCTGGCTGGGAGGACACGAGAAAGTAGACACACGGGCAGGACGCTTCAGGGTAGACGCAGGACATCCTCTCATGTTCTGGCCAAATGTGACACAGGGTCAGCTGTGGACCGGGGTGACCTGGAGCAGCCCGGGGTCTGGGGCAGGGCTCGTGGCCCTGGGGCCTCCTGGTGCATCGCAGCTGGGGGCAGCTGGGGGGCTCCCCGTGTTAAGCGCCTTGGGCTGTGACCACTGGCGCTCGTTCAGGCCGCCGTGAGGGGAGGGTTGCCGAGGGCTTGCCCGCGGGCTGCAGCTGGGTCAGGGCAGCGCAGGCACCAGTGGGCTGGCTCTTGTGGCGCGTCCCCTACCTCTGCAGCTCAACTTCATCGTCTCCTCGCCTCAGCAGCCCACCCTCTCCTTGCTGCTCTGCGCCATTGCAGCAGCTGCTCTGACGGCCTTAGCGTGGAGCCCTTTGATATGGGGCGGGACACATCGGTCCATGCACAGCCCTAGGAAGGGACATACCTCTTTTTCCCTCGCTGCCCTTCTCGCACCGTCTCCCATGTCCAGTGGCCTCCCTGTTTCAGGACCAGCCCAGGTGCCAGCCAGGCCGTCTGGAATCCGCACGGCCCCTCCCTCCACAAGGAGAGACTCTTGTGTCTTCCTCCATCACTTTGCACGTTACACTTTCCCTGTGTGCGCTGCTCCCCTGCCCTCTGGACTTGCTGCTTCTTTGGGGCTGGATCCCTGCCTGTTTCCTCTGCAGCCCCTGGTGGCACCTGGCTGACTTGTCCACACTAGGTCCTCAGCGACCGCCCGAGAGGGCAGGGGCCCCGGCCCTCCGTGTGCCCACGGGCCTCCTGAGCCTCTTGCTTCCCACCGCCGCCATGTCTGGCCGTGGCGGAGGGAGGTGGCCCCGGCCTCCGTGGTTCCATTTGGCTCTCATCCCTGCTCTCTCCCCCTGTCTCCAGGTAAACCACACCTGCTCCCCTCCGAGTTCAAGGAGAAGCCGGCCGGGAGCATCGACTCCTACTTGAAGTCGGCCAATAGCTGGTTAGCGGAGAAGAAGGACATCGCCGAGCGGCTTCTGAAGAACACGTCGGCCAAGACGGAGAACGTCAAGGGCTTCTTCGGGCTGGAGACCAAGCCCAAGGGGCCCCTGGCCAGGAGAAGCGAGTGAGTATCGCCTGCGTGCGTCCCTCCCCGACCGTGGGTGTGACAAGGAGGCCACCCTGGCCCAGTGTCGGGAGCATCTCTGCGCCCTCGGCCGTCACTGGGGCCTGAGAGCTGCTCCCGGGGGGCAGCTGCCTCCCCACCCTCCAGTTTTCTGGGGCTTCCAAACGCTGTTCCATTTGCTGACGTGCTGGGATGCTCCCCGTGGGCCCGTGTTTCTAGGGCTGGAGAGGAGCGTGCGGAAATTGTCGGTAGGCAGGAGGGGAGTTACACCCCCCTCCCTGCACCCCGCCTCCCGCTGCCGTGAGAGAAACCGCGTTCCCCAGGGCAGCGGTGTTCCCATAGCCACTCGGGGACCCGTGGGGGGCGGGGCCGCTTCGGAGCAGTGCAGGGACCGAGACTTCCACAAAGCAGGGGCGCCCTGTGGTCCCCGCCGTCCCCTCCGACGGCTCGGTTACAACCAGCCCACTTGGCTTTATTCCTCCTCTGGTCTGGACAGTCTTGGATTCAGAGAAAATGGCACAGAGGAGCCTGAACAGCACATCTCAGGCACTAAAAGGCTGGCAGGTGGTACAAGTGGCGTTGATTTCGTAAACGTGTTTGCAGAGAAGACCACCTTCGGTTTACACATTGGTTATGAGGCATCATCCCGTTTCAGCAACGTAACAGGGTTCTTTGGGTCGTTTTGTCACTGCTATGGTTTCTCTCCCCAAGGGAGAAAGAAGGCAAGTCCCAGGAGAAGCCACGGAAGACGGGTGAGTGCCTGCCCGTGCTCGCGGGGCCGGGCGGTGCCGCAGCAGCGCCACGGGGTCTCAGTCTGGCCCACGGGGAGCCGCAGGTCCCTGGACGCCTGGGGCTCCAGCTCCCCCGTAGCAGGGGACGCTGTCCTACTGCGCTCTGCTCTGGTCTCTAACTGCTTCCTGAATTTCCACGGAAAACCCGCCTCTCTGGGGATCAACTCCTCCTCCCAGGGGACTCAAGGAAAGTATCCCCAGTGGTGGGGGAGCTGTTCCCGGGACCCTCCCTGGGGAGGAGTCCTCAGGGCCAGGCCTGAGAGCCGCAGGGCAGGTGCCATGGAGTTTCCGCTTATGTTTGTGTGACCTGTGGGATGATGCGGGGCCTGCTGGGAGGGTCGCTGGAGTCGGGGCGGGGCGGGGGTCTGCCTCGCTCAGTCTCCCTCCCCCTCCCGCAGTGACTGTGTGCAGCCCAGAGGAGGAGGGGAAGGGGGAGAAGATCTACCTGTACACACACCTGAAGCAGCAGCCCATCTGGTAAGGCCACCCTCGACGTTTGTCACCAGCACCCATGTCTCCATCAGAAGTGAAGGCCAGGGCTTCCCTGGTGGCGCAGTGGTTGAGAGTCCACCTGCCGATGCAGGGGACGCGGGTTTGTGCCCGGGTCCGGGAGGATCCCACATGCCGCGGAGCGGCTGGGCCCGTGAGCCGTGGCCGCTGAGCCTGCGCGTCTGGAGCCTGTGCTCCGCAACGGGAGAGGCCGCAACAGTGAGAGGCCCGCGTACCACAAAACAAACAAATAAACAAAAGAAGTGAAGGCCACTCACGCCCCCTAGGAGAACCAAAGGAGAAAAGATGGGCGAGGATGCAGGGAAATTGGAAACTCGTACACGGCTGGTGGGCTTGTCCCACGCAGCAGCCACTGCGGAGAGTGGTCGGGCAGCAGTTAAACAGAATTTTAGCCCATGACCCCGGCAGTTTTACTCCTGGGTAGATACTGAAAAGAGTTGAAAACAGGTACTCAAGCAAAAACCTGTGCACGTATGTTCATGACAGTGTCATTCGTAAGAGCCCAAAGGTGGGTACATGAAATGTGGGCTGTCACTCAGCCATGTAAAGGAATGAGGCACCCACCCCTGCCACGACATGGGTGGACCTGGAAAACGTTCTGCCACGTGACCCAGGCCAGACACAAAAGACCACGTAGCGTATGTACACAAAATGTCCAGGAGGCAAAGCCCTGGAGACAGAGCAGATTGGTGGTTGCCAGGGGCTGGGGGAAGCTGGGAGTGCGGTGATGAAAATGTCCCGGAAATGGATAGTGGCAATGGTTGCACAATTCTGTGAATATACTAAAACCCACTGAACTGTGTCCTTGAAAAGTGTGCATTTTACGGTATGTGACTTATACCCTAGTACAGCTGTTCTGTGTGTGTCAATAATGTACACACGTGACGGCCGTGGTTGCAGTGGGAGACCAGTGGTCAGGGGACATCTCGCCCTCTGTCTTTCTCTGAGGACGCTCTCGTCCCTCTGAAGCCTCTCCGTCGGTGGCTTTTATTTCCTCACACGTAGGCGGTGTAGTAGCCCCTGGAACCCAAAGGGTGTCAGACGTGCCCCTCCCACGAGGATCACAGTCTCGCTGCGGTGGGAGAACCTGGGGCGGCAGAATGGGGCGCGTGAGGCACGCGGCCGGCCAGGGCTGGACTGCAGCTGTCCCAAAGCCTCCGCGAGGAGAGCCCACCCTGCAGGGCCAGCCTCAGGGGGAAGCAGGGAGAGGGAGCCCAGCAGCCCCGGTCCCACCGTCTGACGTAGCTTGGGCCCCCCTAGGCTCCGCTGCTGTCTTACCTGCAACAGGGCTCAGCCCCACTTTTCTGTACAGAGCCGGGTGGTAAGTGTTTTAGGCTTTACAGGCAACCACTGCCCTCCACTGCTGTGGTGCCAGAGCCGCCGTGGACAGGGTGTAAGTGGAGGCGTGGCTGTGATCCCATAAAGCTTGATTCACACAGACGGCGAGCAGGCCGGACTTGGCCCACGTGCCGTAGGTCTGCTGACCCTGATCCTTGGGAAGCGTGCCTCTTCCTCGTGTGTCGCTATAAATGCGTTTGCCCTCTGCACGTGGCCTGTCCCTGCCGGGGTTCCCATTTATGTTACTAGACCGTGTTCTAGAGAAGCAGGCCTCCTCAAAGCCTCTGCTTCCTGTTGGGAGCTCAGCCGGAGGCAGAGAAGGGGAAATGGCCTTCCCGCACATCCCGCTGGTGGCGGCTTCCCCTTTGACCCCATGAGTCCAGGCCGAGTCCTGGGAGAGACGCACGGATGCCCTCAGGACACGTTGCCGGGTGGTCGGGGGGGAAACCAGCTCCACTGAGGATAAAGGCACGTGGGCCTTGTCTGTCTTGCAGGCACACGCTGAGGTTCTGGAACGCGGCCTTTTTCGACGCTGTCCACTGTGAGAGGAGAAAGCGGTCTCCCACCACCAGGTAGGAGCCAAGTCCGGGCCCGCTTTGCCCCAGGGAAGAGGACCAGGGCGAGGCTTTATTGTCCCGTTCCTGAAGAGGAAAGCAGGAGGACAGAACAGCTGAGTCGACGCGTCTGTGTTTCTTCCTCAACCCCTGGCAGCCCCGGTGCCCTGCAAGCTGCCTGAAGGGTCCCGGGCGCACCGCTTCCTGGGTGGGGGGGCCAGCTTGCATGAGCGCTTCCTGCCCCGGGGCTCCGGCATGACTCGGCCTGACCCTCCTAAGAAATGCAGACTCCCACTGAGTGAAGCCCACAGGGCCCCCCTCGGTCCCACTCTGCCTGTCTCTGTGAGACTCCAGACTCCCGAGCTGAGACCGCTGCCGCGGGACCCTGGGTGCTGGGCTCACGTCTGGGAAGGGCAGTCGCTACTGTCAACTTACTCCTCTGGGCTGCAGCTTCCCCGAGGGCAGTCTTGCCGCTTCGGAAGACTCCCTTTGTAAAGCGGTTCACTGAGCACTGGGCAGCGGCGAGGGCTGGGCACGGTGCCCAGCTCTCTCTGGCCACAGCAGCGAGCTAAGGTGGTGCCTGCTGTGTGCAGCAGCGGGGCGGGGAAGGGGCAGCGGCCTCCCAGGCCTGGGTCACCTCGTTGGCCCCTCCAGTCATGGGACTTTGAAGTCTGAGTCTCTCCTCGTTGATGAAATTGAATCCCCGCCTTCTTTGACCCTGGGGAGACCCCTTAACCTTTCTCCCGGCAGGAGAGAGGGCAGGTGCCTGCTGGTTAAGGCTTTAGACCACGAGCACTTGGGGGATCTTAAGTGAAATCTTTTTTGGGGGGGAAGTAAACCCTATCGGGATGACCTGCCTCATACCCCACGGCGGCCTGCTGTGGCTGTGTGCCCCGGGAAGGCAGGGGAGCACGTGGAGAGGAAGCGATGCTGGAATTCCTAAGGATTCTAGAGAGAGAGTTCTCCGCCCTTCTGGGAGTCGCAGATGCAGGAAGTGCCTGTAGGCGAGGGGGATCCTCGTGTTGCTTTGCTCTCAGACTCCTGGGCCACTGCCCCCCGGAACCCCGTTTCCATATCCGTCTCCGCTGTGATAACCCTCCTTCCACGCTTTGCTCTCTTTTCCATCCACATATCTTGCATGACTTTGACGTGTTCCTCTGTTTACCTGTTTCTGCTGCCGCTCCAGAGGGGATGCTGGAGAGGAGGAGAAGAAGAGGTGTGTGTCCACGTGACTGTCCATGGACAGTGCGGGGGCCCTTCGGGGCCGCTGGGTCGGAGGGGAGGGGGGTGTGACCAGACGTGGGTGTGACTCGCGGCCGGCGGGCCCAGCGCTGGGACAGGCTGGCGACAGACAGTGGGGAGCTCGCCGAGCATAGAGACCCCGAAATGGTCAGGAGACAGACACGGCCCCCGAGAGCCCCACGAGGCCCAGTGCGCATCCCAAGAGGAGAGGGCAGTGAGGTCCAGGAGGTCAGCTCCGACCTGGAGCGAGTCCAGCCTCCATGGGCCACTCTGGCCCTCCCAGCGGACCCCGAAACCACACCCTTGGGTTCCCTTGTTGTCCGCTCGGTCATTGATCCGGGCTCAGGAGCTGCAGGTCGGGCCAGAGGACCTGTCCCTGCAGTCGTGCCTAGGGGCCTGCGGGCTCTGGCAGACCCTCGCCCACTCTGACAGGTCTGGGGGGTCCCGGAGGAAGGACAGCTGCTTCCTTCCCCCGGCCACTGTGTGATGTGAGGCCTGTGTGTGTGAGGGGGTCCCCTGAAGACAAAGGTCTAGAACAGGCTATTTCCTGCGAGCCCACGGTGGGGTCTGACTGCAATTGTTTGAACTTGATATGTGCTCGATATCTTGGTTAAGATATTTTTAGAGTGAAAGGCCTGCCTATTCAAAATATAGTTTCTGATTCAGTGCTTGTTTTTAATTTGGTGGAAATTTCCCAAAGCATGCTTCCTTTAATCAGTGATGTATTTTTAGTGCTTATTGTTTTATGAGAAATCTTGTTTTTTTTAACGCAGCCTTATTATGGCTTTAAAAGGAGCATTTGGGCACGGCAGCTACCTCCATTCCTAAAAAGCCCCCAAGTTCCCACAGACTCTCTGGGGGGCGGGGGTGTGTGTGTAATTAACCAGCCTTCCTGGAGCAAGGCTTCCCAGCACCACAGCCGAGGCCCGACAGGGCTGGAGCATCATGACCTCTGAGCCCCACGAGGGGAAGTGAGCCTCTGGGCCTCACAGGCCTCCTCACCCAGAGCAGATGTGGTCTGGCCATGCACATCCCAGATCTGACCCCCAGGACACCCCGAGATTGGGGGCCGGGGGTTGGCTCTGGGTCCTTGGGCAACCTTGTGCCTCCAGCATGATTCCTCTTCGGCAGACTCTGCTGGCAGCACCATCAGCACCCTCTCTGTTCTCAGAGGCAGAAATGTCCCCGTTTCAGGAGGCTTCCTCTTCTGTAAGCTGCTGGACACATCCGAATTCCCACTGTGGCAATGTAGACACACGATCTGCCCTCCTGGGGTGTTAGACCTCGACCAGTATCGGGTGCTGAACTCAATTTTAAGGAATTGATTTGTTGGCAGGCATCCCCTGATCCCAAATGACCTTCTACCTATTTCTTCAGAGATCAGATAAAATGTCCCAACTCTAGTCCTCGCCACAGCAAAAGGACTGACCTCCTCATCTGGGTCAGGGCTGCTGTGCTGCACGCCTGCGAGGGAGCCACTTCCACATGGTCTGGGGTTGTGCAGTGCACAACCTGTGCAACAGTACCCAGCGAGCCTGGTGGTGGTGTGGGAGTTTATGTGCCTGGACGATTCTAAGGGTGACCACTCAGGGAAGAAGGATGGGAAGGAACATGGCATGGGATTAGCATAGTGCCTGGAAGCACATTCCAGGTGTCTTCGTGGGTGTCCTGTCAGCATGAGGAGACTGGGAGACTGACAGTGCCGCCTCTGTTGCGCCCTGGTGTCCCATGGCTCCCGCTCAGCTGCAGCGGCACCAGTAGCCTCCCTGGGCTGGGAGGGGGGAGAGGAGTTAAGAGTCGATGTTGTTGGTTCTGTTCCTCTTCTTTCAGCTTCTCCATCGCCCTGACCCCTCACCCCCTCATACTGCCTCTTCTCTCCCTTTTCTTTTGTCTTTTTCCTCTCAGCCCTGTTTTAGTCAGACTCCTTGTCCAGAGTGTAATTTTTAAGGGGAAATAGGCATCTGCTCACTTCTCAGGTGGCCACGCGGCTCCCATGCCCCGGGGGGTGGAGGTGGAGTGGTGCAGTGGCTGACGGTCCTGGGCCCCTGGGGACAAGGGTGCTTGGCCGTAAGGGGAGGGGCTGACGCCCTGCAGGATGGGGCGGCGTTCGCTCTCAGTCAGGGACACCGAGCTCAAAAAGAGCTCAAAAGCGCACCTTTCCTGCCCGAACCCTGAGCCCCGCGCTGCTTCACGGAGAGCACGTGGAGCCTCACGGGCCATGGTCCCTCCTCGTTGGGTTCCCGGCTTTGCTGAGAGGCTCTGTGCCGTCTTCTCCGTGCTCACGGGCCCATCCCCGCGCCCTACGAGGCAGCCTGGGAGCACAGTGAACGGCAGAGGCGGGCCTGCCTGATGGGCCTCGTGTGGTCAGAGGCCGCAGACGCTCGCTGGGCTCCTGACCCCTGCTCCACCGGCTTCTCGGCACGCCTCCCCACCGGTGACACGGGCCTCGGCCTCTGTGTCCTTGAACCTTAGAGAAGGATGTGGGGGCAGCGTTCTCGTCTCCCGGAGAATGTTCCGGGCAGCCGCTCAGCGCACATTGTCTCTGGGTCCTGAGCCTTGTCTCCGCCAGGAGAAGGTGATGAGTGTGGGTCTCGGGCCCCCAGGCAGAGGGGCAGCCTTCGGTCAGGCTTCCTAGAAGCAGCGCCAGCAGCTCTTCGGCAGAGGTGTCCCCTCTCTGTCAGGGAGGCCAGCACCTGTGGGTCAGAGCAGGAGGGGGCCAAGCGGCGGGGATGTGGGCTCTGAAGCCCCTCCGCTGCCCCTCCTGTGCTTGCAGAGAGAGGTGGTGCCACATGACCCAGGAGGAGCGGGACGACAGCCTGCGGTTCAACGAGAACATCACCTTCGGGCAGCTGGGGTGAGCACTAGGGCCGGCCTGCCACCCGCCCCCTCCGCCCCCCCCCCCGCCCCGCCCTATGACCCGGACGGGGCCACGCCCACTCCGGGTCACCCAGGAGATGAGCAAGCAGGGCGGTGTGAGGAGGGACCGCCCGGTGAGACGCTCCTACTGGGGGCTCTGCTGGGGGAGCGCCACCCTTATGACGTCACACATCCCCGACTCAGTGTCACGACCACTGTGCGTTCTTAAATGGCTCAGAAGCACACGGTTCACTCCACTTGGCCTTGACTCCGGTTCCTAATTAGTCCGCCCCTAACACGGTTTCGTGGTGAGCAGGGCTGGCCGATGAGGCGATTTGGTTTTACATCTTTCTATCGATTCCCCGGCCCGGTGGGCTGCATGTCGGGCCCCGGCTCCCTTCCCCTCGGGAGGCGGGAGGGCTGCCAGCTCACGGCCGTGTCCCCCCAGCACGTTCACGCACAACATGCTGGCGTTCGGGCTGAACAAGAAGCTGTGCAACGACTTTCTGAAGAAGCAGGCGGTGATCGGCAACCTGGATGAGGGTGAGTGGCGGCAGGGCCAGGGTTTCGGGGGCGAGTGCGCTGCGTGCTGGAATCCCCACCCGGCTCAGAGGACTGTCCCTGCTGTAATTTACCAACGGCCTGCGTGCGCGGGACACTCTTCCTTCCCCTTGGAGACCCAGTTCTGCTAGGTAGGGCTTGCCCACGTGGGGCAGGATGGTGCGGGGCCCACCAGGTCAGTGCTTACAGACAGGGCCCAGGAAAAGATATAACTTGGTGCTCAGACTCTGACCTTGAAAATGGGCAGACTCTGGCGCTGAGTTGCCCCTCCATCTAAATGGCCACCACATGGCCTGTCTTCGTTGCTTGCATGACACTGCGGCCGCAGGTCCCGGGGGAGCGGCGGGGCTCTTGAGGTCTTTCCGGCATCTCTGGCTTCTGTAACGGGAGGGGACACGTTGCTGATGTCAGCTTCCCTGATCGACAGCTGGCCTTTAGGCGTCATCCCACGTGCTACAAGATGCTTCCTGCGTGTCCCCTGAAAACTCTTCCACTTAGACATAGATTTGTACCGATCGATATTGTTTACAAATAAAACTCCATCCTGGACCGAGTTAAAGAGGGCCAAGGACAGGTGGCCTCAGGAGGTGCCCCCGGAAAATCTCCAAATGCTGTCACCAGCCCCACCACTCGTCACAGGGCAAGAACACTGTGCCCTCCACCACGTGACCCCTGCATGGCCTCCAGGACCCACGCCTGGCTCCGGTGACAGGGTTCATCTGCCCACACCAGGCTTCCTGGGGGCCTGCGGGGCTGCCCTGTGGCGCGTCATTGCCACGGGAAGATGCGTCCCGGCTCCACGGAGCCCACTGCCAGGCCGAGGGCACTCCTTCAGAAGCCCACACTCGCCATGCCCGGGAGGGCCTGCTTTGTCATCACCCCGAATGAGAAGGACCTGCCCGTCCGTGTCGCCGTCTCTCTCACGAGGAATAACGTTGTTTTCTCTTCCAGAGCAGTACAAGCTGCTGAGTGACCACATCGAGCAGATGGCCGCCGAGTAGGCCTCGGCAGGTGGCCCGAGGCTCCCCCAGGAGGACTGTGGGTACGCGCCTCCCTCCCGCGCCCACGGCTGGCTGTCACCCCCCCCCCGCCCCCGCATGACATTGGCAGCACCCAGAGGCGCCCCACACCGCCCTAGAACTAGCGGCTAGAAGAATCTGGTTGCCCGTTTTCCCTGCCTCCCCTCTGCCTGTGTCTGCTCCCCCACCTGCGTGCCAAAGTGTCTCTGGGATTACACAGCTAACACCGAGGTGACTTTCCATATCCCCGAGTGGCAGACCTGCGACGTGGGACCGAGGGGGCGCAGGAGGGAGGATGCTGGGTCCACGATGGGCCGGTGTCCATCGTAGCCTCCTGCGGGAGATGCTGGGGCGCACGTGGGAGGGTAGGGAAGGGCAGCTGTGGGGTGGCACACGCCAGTGACACAGGGCAGTCAGGAGTGATGATTGGGGGCCCCCCAGCAGGGTGGGATGGGGTTCCTCCCACAGTGGGGTTCCTGTTGAGCGGGGGCCAAGCAGAGGGGGCGGGGGCCTGTGAGTGTCGGTCCACGGCCGGTGCTGGCTCTTTTCCGGGTCCCCTCTCCGTGCAGCAGGGACGGGAGTCCCAGGAAGCTCCAGGAGGAGAGGGACACCCCCTATTCCAGGACGGGAGAGAGACCGGGGCAGAGGACGTGCCTTCCCGGCTGCAGAAGGCCCGGCCACGGTCAGGGGTGTGGGCGCCGGGAGACGGCCGGCTCCAAGTGGCTGTGTTGGACCCACGTAGCACGCAGGTGTCTGTGTGAGGCCGTCTGAGATGTCCCCGTGCAGCCGACAGCTTCCTTCTGGAGTGGAGACGCTTCCGCCCCTTGCTCCCTGGGAGTAGCTCGGGGCCATCAGTCCCGTGACAAGCACAGACAAGAGAAGCTTCTTCAGCAGCTTCAGGACAACCGCCCTTTCTGAAAGCAGACAGTGCTGCCCTTTATTTCAAAACAGACAAAAGAATCTGTGTCAGCGTTACAGGCACCGTGGCAGAGGCCGCTTGTGGCGGTGACTGTGTGAGGCGGGGTAGCGGGGCTTTGGAGGGTCGGGCCCTCCACCCCGGCCGCCTGGGGAAGCCTGTACCTTCTGCCACCCGAGCCCTTGGACCCCTTTCCTGCGGACTCTGCGGACACCCCCTCGCCGTCTCAGGTGCCGGGAGCCGGGGCTCTTCCCCCCAGGTTTGTACCAGGCACAGCTGACCAGCCCAAGGGACTGCAGTCTGGCCAGCAGGCCTCCAGCCTGCCACCAGCTTCCCTGGCGAGCCCGGTTCCCCCGCCCCAGCCCCAGCTCTTGGGCGCTGACAATGAGGCCAGCGGGGCTCCGTCCTTCCCGCCTTGGTCCTTCGTCCCGTGTCCCCGCTGCACCTCCTCCAGCATGACAAGCACACGCCAGATACCCAGCCCTCCGGCCCTCCAAGTTTCCCCTCGTGGGGGATGCCTCCCTGGAATGTTCCAGAGCAGAGCGTGCGTTGGTTGAGCCGAGGAACGCACATCCGGGTGATCGTAAGAGAGATGACAGGAAACACGGCAGGACCCGAGTGCGCCGGCGTGAGCTGCTCCTCCAGGAGACCTGGGGGGCTGGGGCTTCAGAAACCCTGCTGTTTTCGCAATGGCGTGTGCGTGTGTGTGTGTGTGTGGTGGCAGCCTCTCTGGCCGTGTCACTAAACAAAGCACAGCTGTGTCGCCAGTTTGCCTGTCCTGTGCGGGGCGGGTCACACGGGCCGGAGCGCCTCCACCCGATGCTGGGCCCAGTGATAGGACGGGTCTCTATGGAACGCGTTTCAGAGAAATCACATCCAGCTGACGGGTGTGCGGGCCCCTCCTCCAGCGCCTCCTGAAGATGACGCAGCCCCTCCTGAGACGTTCAGCTACGACCCCCGCGTGTGCTGTGCTCCCCCCACCCCCCACAGGAGCCGGGCCACGTGCCCTCGCAGGGCTCTCCCCCTGCGGCCGCGTGTCGTTGGCTTTCTTCGTGGTTAGTTGAAAGGCATTAAGATTTTATTCTAAAGGTGCCCAAAAGACTTATCCTTGTACATAGAAGATTTTTGTACGGACGTTCGATCCAGTCTGATTTCTGGAGGGAGACAGTAGGTTCTGGGTCTTCCCAGGGGTGCTGGGGAGCTGGCGGCTCTCTCCCCGCAGGGTGGGGCGGGAGGGCCCGTGCAGCCTTGGAAGGAAAAATGCAGCTTTGACTTCTTGGGGCTTTTCCAGGCGCTTTAACTTCAAGATGATCTTGAGACCTTTTTTTTTTCCATACAGGCCTCTTGAAATAGCAGTTGAAGGTAGAAGCAGGGTTGCTTTGGGTTTTTTCCTCTCCCCTTGTTTGTGTAAATCTAGCTCCTAAGAGTGGAGTCTGACCCCAGAAGTGCTGCCTGTTGCTTTCAGCCCTACGAGGGGACACTGCCAGAGACCGTGGGCCTCGTGGAGTGACCAGTGTCGGGGTGGCTCTGAGGCTGCCCTGCTGTGTCCTGGTGGCGTCTGCCTTTGGCCGAGCGTTTCACCTCGGAGTGTCTGACCGCTGTCACCCGGAGGACGCACGGCGTGCCTAGCAGGAGCCGGCAGCCTGCCTCGCTGACGTTTCCTCTCTCTGTGGCACGATCTTCCCTCCGAGGCCCGCTCCGAGCAGACAGACACAGGGCGGGCTCTCAGGTCCGAGGGCGGAGAAGTCTCACCCCGCTGTACACACAGGAGGCTTTGGAGAAAGAGCTCTGGTGGCCTTCCCTGTAAACTCAGGACCCTTAGACTCGGGGCAGGAAGCGTCGGGTCATATCCACGAGGAGAGTTTCCAGTCCCAGTAGGTTCAGGGTCCCAAGCCAGGAGCTTCGAAGGCCTGCGTTAGCAATGGCATTTCAGTCTCCTGCTGTCTGCCCTTCAGGGCGATGTGAATCGTAATGAGCCAAAAACAGCTAATTCTCCCAAGTGAAAAGTACCCTGCTTTGGAAATAGGATGGTGTCGAGATGTGCTTTGTACGTCTTCAGCCTTTGTTGCAGTTTTAGCAATGTTGTTAGATGTTTAAGAGGGGCTGTGCTAGGATTCAGATTATATCTACTGTGTGCGTGCGTTTAATCGAAGGCAGGAGAACCAAGTTCTCATATTGTAAGTTCTTTGTACAGTGAAAGGGAGTAGACCGTGATTTTCCTATTGCCGAAAGGGGAAAAAAGCAGACCAAGGAGCTCTTAAGTTGCCAAAAGGAGGGCTGGAGAGAGTCCAGTTCACGAGTTTTGTGCTCCAGTGAAACCTGGGACGGTCAGGGTCACGGGCAAGCCCCACGCTGGGTTTAGGACAGAGACCCAGCACTGGAGTCAGAGGTGCCGCCTGACCTTTCTCTTTCCTCCTTCCCGGGAGCTGGAACCAGTGGAGCCCGTACTCACCTCTCCCTGCCCGGTTAGACGGTGAAGTTCATTGCCGTGGAGAGAAGGTGGCAGGCTTGAGGGTTGCTTTTCCGTCAGCTGTTTTAAGTGGGTTGGTTTATCACCCAGAGCAAGTGCTCTGGGTGTTGCAGCCTCCCAGCGTGAGAAGCGCAGTGTTCACGCCACAGAGGGGCTTGCGAGGAGTTTTGTTGAACCCAGGTGACCGTGACCAGCAGTCAGGGCTGCAGCTACAAGCCTGACCTTCCTGGGCATTGCTGCACCCCGACGAGTTGGCTTTTCAGCGAGTGGGGATCCCAGCAGGTCGGTGCGGTTAGATCAGCTGTATGGCCGAATCACCTACAATTGAGACAGCTGGGCAGCCAGGGGCCTGAGGCATTTGCCAGAACAGCAGGGAGCTTGGGAAGCAGGGGGAGAAGGGCCCGGCACCAGCCTCGGGGGAGGGGTAGCAGCCGGGCGGTGCCAGGCTTGTCACCCCCTGGCCACCCTCTTCCTCAGCCACAGGCAGAGCTGCGGGGCTGGGGGCCCACGGCCCCTCGGTCCCGGGGTTCTTCTCGCAGCGCCCCACCCCCGGCCTTTTAGTTTCCTTGAACCACTGTTTCTGCCACTCAGCCATCTCCCCGTCTTCCTGCAAATCACTGATCCCTTTTTACGATTCTTGAGGGGGAGTTTCGCTAGAAAAGCGTTTGAAGCTGAGTTCGTACAGGGGAATGGCATCGGTGACAAGTGCCCCTAACTGGCTGGTGTGCGACGTTCAGACCTGGGCTGGAGCCAGGCCTCAGTCAAGTCACATGTCCCAGTACGTCCTTGTCGCCCGGCGGCTGGGAACAGGCCTGTGTGGGTTCTCCAGATGGTTCCCACCCAGGAGCACCCTCAACGCCAAGACCCTCCGCGTGGCCGGTCCCCCAGGCCTCGTTCTGCCGCCATCTCCCTGCAGTCCCTCTCCAGCAAGCGCCTCGAGTGGCCGGCCTACCTCGTCCCTGGGTGTCCTGGCGCTGGCCTGTGTCCCTGCGTTGGCTGGTCTGTCTGAGCTTGAGATGAGTGAAGGGCTGCGGGGGGGAACCTTCCCCCTGGCTGTGTCCCCAGGAGTCAAGGGGACACTGCTCCCGCTCTAGAGTTCTCGGTTACTATTGGAGAAGGAACACCTTGTCATTTCCAGGAGCGAGTCAGGATGGTCTGGGTTTGCCCGTCTTCCCATCACTCTGTGCAGGCGGGCGGGACCCTGCATCCTCGCTTGTCCTGCAGGGTCAGACCAGGGCGCTGTCGCTTAGCGCCCTCCTGAGCAGCACAGACGGGGTCGCTGAGCTGGAAGGAGGGCTCCTGCTGCTGTGATGCCCCTCGGACCCCGGGGAGCTGTGCCTGTCCCCACCTTGGTCCTGGACAGTGCACTCGCGGAAATGAAAGGGAAGCGCTCAGCAGGCCCGGTTCCCACACACAGGCTGCACATGCGGGCCCTGATCTGTCCCTGTGCTGGAGGCTTGCTTAGGTTCCCGTGGACGCCTTGAGATGGACGGGCCGACCATTTGAACAGTAGGAAAGGCTCGAACTCAAATGGCAGGTACCTCCCCTTAAGACGTGTCAGCTCGAGAGCCTCATGGCTCTAACTGTGGCCTCTGGGGCTTCAGGAGGGTCTCCCACGTGCATCCCCTGTTTCTCTCCCACCCATTGGTCTCGGACCTGAACTTGCCTTGGCCATACCCACGCATTGCCCTTAGTGGCCCAGAAGCCGGGGTCCGCGATGCAGGTATGTTATATGTACACTTACGCGATTTCGTGTCCCACGAGGCGACGTTCTACAAACTATATTTTCAGGTGGAGAAAGTTTCAAGGTCGAGCTCTCAGAACAGTGCTCAAATCAAAGCTGTTTCCTGTGAAGAAAAAAAAAAAGTCTATTTATTTCACCTCAGATTGTCAGAAGGCAGAAACTGAAATAAATTCTTAAAAAAAGGAAGTCAGTCTGTTGAATTTTTGTTTTCACATGTCCGTGAGCACATTTTTTTTTTTTTTTTTACAGAATTTACAATCTTCTCAGTGATGACAGAGAAAACACCTTTTTCTGGGGTCAAATAGACGTTCTCCCCACTTAGGCTAAGCAGCTGGGTCTTGTGCAGACATGTGTGTGTGTCGTGGCCAAACTGATGGGCAGAGGGAGTGTCCGCTGAGTCCCCGCCGGGGTGTGTTAGTGAACGGAGGGGCCTTGGCCTCCAGGATGCCTCCAGCCCCTTCCAGCTGATATCCTGGTCTTGCCTTTGAGCCACAGCTGCCTCACTTCTTGCTTTTGGGGGTCGGGGGGCTGTGAGTAGAACGCGATTACCACCCCCGCCTGACACACACAGGACACCTTCATCATCCCTGACAACTTGGTTTGACAGACGTATTTTGTGAAATGTTGGGCTTTCTTTTTTTCTGATTATAAGAGGTCAATAGCCATGTTCTAACTCTCCAGACTAACAGATCCGGGAGGTAAGCCTGAGGACCAGCACAGGGCCTAGAAGAAGTGTCCTTGGTACCTGGAGAAGTGGACTCAGTTCCAGGGGCCCCGGGTGGGATGGTTCCCAGGGCGAAGGTGCAGGCAGGTCCCCCAGCCCTGGCCTGGCCACCTGAGATGGGCTGGGGTATGTGCCCTGATGCTCGGTGGGGCAGGGGCCGGACCGCCCTGTCTCTGGTTCTCCCACCCAGCCTGGAGGACCGGCCCGGGTGGTAGAAGCCTTCACACCTGACTTTTCCTCAGGTGCCAGGAGAGTCCAGCAGCTGAAGGCCAGGGGCTGGATTCAGAGGCAACTCCTGGTGACAGGGAAGGACCCCTCTGAAGGCAGCAAGGATTCTGAAGAGCACGGGGACCCGAGCCTGGGTCCCGTTCTACCTCCCCACCAACCCACTGCGCGTCTTTTGCCAAATTGTTTTCTGAACCTCAGTTTCTTCATCCATATAATGGGAGGGAAAACATCACCCATCTGAGGCGGTTCCTGCGAGAAATGCAAACGTGCTTCTCGCTCTAATCTCTTTCCTCCTTGTCCCGATGAGGAAATAAATCAACCTGGGAGCTGTACCTGTAGGAAGGGTCCTGCCCATTAAAGGAAAAACAAAAACGACCAAACTTCTCTCTAAATTTTATAGGAATCCATTTAAAACATACTCTTCAAAATTCATGACACTAAATATAAAAGAAATTTAAACAATTAGGCATTCACATCGTGTTCCTTTGTAAATTGTAACCTTCCTACTTCTGACTTTATTGACGCTTAAAACTGTGCTGAGGCTTCCAGGGCACCCTGACCATGGTAACAGTCTTGTCCCTTGAATTCGTGCCGAGCACCTCTGCCTGCAGCCACCTCCCCTGCGCAGTGCCACAGACGCTCCGGCTCCCCGAAAGAAGCATCTCCCCTCTTTCCATATTTGGAACAAGCTTCTCACTCACGAAGTCACCTTTTAATGTCACAGGAAATGACCGCAGGTGCTCTCTTTTCTCCTGTGCTCAGATCCTGCGCGAGTTGCACTGGGAAGCAGTGGGGTGGGTTTGTCCTCAATGCCTGGGACTCTGAAAGGAAGAGACCCCAAAAGTTATGCACCTTCCACCCCTGCTCACCCCACCTCCCACCTCCTGGGCCCCAAAGAGAGGAGCTAGGAATTTTGTCCCTACTCCCAAGCGACCATGCACACAGAGAGAGCCAGGGAAGCTCCTGGCCGATGTCCAACCCTGGAATTGGGAACAATTGGTCTCTTGGGCGTGCTGGGGCCAGAGAGGGAGGGGAGAGGCCCCTTGTGCCGTCAACTTACCTTTAATGAGCACCTACTATGTGCCAGGCGCCACCAGGCTCCAGGACCACAAGATGAAGAAGCAAGGTCCTTTTCCTTCAGAAACTATCAGTGGGGTTCAGACACAACTGAGGTTAAAAAAAGGTACATTTGTGTGTGTCTGTCTGTGCGTGCATGTACACACATATAAATGCTTAGAGTATAAAAATATAACAAAATATATACTGTAAATGTGATGATATATAATACAATCTATGATAAGGTTATTTTATAAATTATTATATAGGAAATATAGAATGTTTTAGTTATTTTTGGAGTGAGTGTCCTTCCTGGTTGAATCAGGGTGGGCTTCCCTGAGGAGGTGCCTTGGAGCTGCATTTTGGGAAATAAAAGTCACTGTGGCGAAGACGTTAATCCTGCAATGATCCCATGAGAAAGGTTTGGTTTTTTTTTAATTTAATTTAATTTTTTATTGAAATATTGCTAACTTACAATGTTGTGTTAGCTTCTGGTGTACAGCAAGGTGATTCAGTTGTACATATCCATATTCTTTTTCATATTTTTTTCCATTATATGTTATTACAAGATACCCCTGTGCTATATAGTAGGACCTTGTTTATCTATTTTATATATGGCAGTGTGTATCTGTTAATCCCATACTCCTAATTTATGCCACCCCCCCTTAACCCTTTGGTAACCATAAGTTTGTTTTCTACGTCTGTGAGTCTATTTCTGTTTCGTAGATAAGTTCCTTTGTGTCGTATTTTAGATTCCACATGTAAGTGATATCATATGATATTTGTCTTTCTGTCTGACTTACTTCACTTAGGGTGATAATCTCCAGTTCCATCCATGCTGTTGCAAATGACATTATTTCATTCTTTTTTATGGCTGAGTAGTATTCCATTGCATGTAGGTACCACATCTTTATCCATTCATCTGTCAGTGGACATTTAGGTTGCTTCCGTATCTTGGCTATTGTAAATAGTGTGCAAAGAACCTTGGGGTGCATGTATCTTCTTGAGTTAGTTTTCTCCAGATACATGCCCAGGAGTGAGATTGCTGGATCATATGGTAACACTATTTTTTAAAGAACCTCCACACTGTTTTCCATAGTGGCTGCACCAGTTTATAATACATTCCCTCCAGCAGTGTAGGAGGGTTCCCTTTTCACCACACCCGCGAGGAAGGTCTTGTTCACCACTTTGCTGAGGAGGAAATCATGGTACCTGCAGTGGGGAATGAAATCAGGGGCTAGCTGGCTCCAGAGCGTAGTGTTTATCCTGAACGGCTGCAGGACGTCCTCTCCCTGGCAGAGGTGTCTAGGAGGCAGCAGGAGGTGCGCTGAGAGCCGAGTGACCCAGAGCTCAGATGCCCCCAGCCACCATCAGGAATTTGCTCCCCCAATGTGCACACCCAGGGGGCCCAGGCGGGCAGGAGCCTGCGGACTCCCACCCCTCCTCCACTTCTGTGATGTGTCCCTGGTCCCAAGGTCATCCCCGCACATCACGTCCCTATGGTTTGGGTGAATTGCATCCCCAAAACTCATGTGTTGAAGTCCTAACTCCCAGTACTCACAATGTGACTTTATTTGGAAATAGAGTCTTTGCAGATATATTTAGTTAGGATGAATGGGGTGGACCACTGATCCTATGACTGGTGTCCTTATAAAAAGGGGAAACAGACCCCAGAAGGAACCAGACCTGCCAGCACCCTGACCTTGGAGTCCAGCCTGAAGGAGAATAGATTTCTGTGGTTTGAAGCCCCCAGTGTGTGGTGCTGTGTTAGGACAGCCCTGGGAGATGAATCACCTGCAACCAATAAGGACTCTGTGGGGCTCTCCTGGGACAGACCCACCCAATGTCCTCCACCTGACTCTTGTTTGTAGAAAAACTTTAGCCTCCTAGGCTAGTTCCCCGAGTTCCAAAGAATAAATTTAATCAGAGAAATGAGAAAATGCAGAAGCTAAGGAAAATAGTCAAGCCAGACAAAATAATAAGAGTTCAGCCATTAAACAAAGCCAAGGACCTTTAATTCCTCCTCAAGGGCTATAGATAATATTCTGCACCATGTCCTTTGAGCTGTTTTGCAGGTACGGAAACCCCACAGGTGGAAGAAGTTAACTGGATGCTGCCCAGTTACCTCACCACCAGCCAATCAGAAGAATGTCCACAAGGGACTTCCCTGGTGGTCCAGCGGTCAGGACTCTGCACTTCAACTACAGGGGACCCGGGTTCGATCCCTGACTGGGGAACTAAGATCCCACAAGTCGCACGGTACAGCCAGAAAAAAAAAAAGAATAAAGGAAAAATGTCCGAGAGCTGATAACGCGCCCCACAGTCTCCCTCCCTCACCCTGTGTTTAAAAACCTTTCCTGAAAGTCGTCGGGAAGTTGGGACCTTTTGAGCACCAGCTGCCTGGACTCTTTGCTTGGCGCCTGCAACAAATCCTGCCCTTTCCTTCACTGCAACCCGGTGTCAGTAAATTGGCTTTACTGCACACAGGCAAATGGACCCGAGTTTGGTTCGGTAACACACGTTCACACGGGCTTAAACACCCAGAAGCCCAGTCATAAGACAGGAAATGAGACGCAGCAGGAGTCAGGGTGAGATGCGCCCACGTTTATTGAACACCTGCTAGGTACCAGGTGTCCTTCTGGGCACCCTGATCCCCAGAGCAGCCTGTGAGCTGAGTGATGTCATTCCTGCCAGACAGATGAGGAAAGCGGGACTCAGAGGACACGGGACTTGCACACGGCAGAGCCTCCGAGCATCCAGCCTCAGCCCCCTTTTCCTGACTGGGGAGTTCTCGTCCTGGCGATGCAGCCCCTTCCCCTGTCCCCTGAGGTCCTCCACGGGGTCCTCCTCGGCAGACTTGTCCTCACTGGCTGCTTCTTTTCTCTGGCTCCGTACGGTGCTCTGGGTGCTCTAAATAAAAGAAATACAACAACAGAATCATCATCACCATCACAGCAACAACAGCGATAATAATAATGACAGTGACAAGCATCGTTTCCTGAATGTTTCGGGTAGATGTGTTCGCCTAATGCCACAGCCCTTTGAGGGGGTTACTATCATTGGCCCCACTTTGCAGGTGAGGAATCTAAGGCACAGAGAGGTTAAGGAACTTCCCCCGGGTCACACAGCTTGGGAGCAGTGGGTTTGGACCCAGGCAGTCTGGCTGGGGACCATACTTCCTCCGCTGCCTTTCAAGAGAATTATTCAGAAAGCATGAGACGCCCCTCACCACACTGTGGTTCCCTGAGTCTGCTTCAGGCAGGTCGGGTCAGACTCAGGGCCACCCTCCCACTCCCCAAGCAGCACTCCCTTCTCAGACCCGAGTTCTCAGCCGGCCTCTGGTCTCTGGTCTCTTCACCTTGTCACAGGTGTTACGCCCCACCCCCAGTGCTCACCTGGGCGAGAAACCACGGGACGGCCGGGGGCAGGGTGGTGTCCGTGAGCAGCCGAGCGTCATAACGCCCATGAACTTCACGCATCTTGGCTCTAAAATCCTGCCAGGAGGGTTGGATCCGGTCAGGAAACAAAGAAAGGGGTGTCAGCGGGAAAGAAAGACGTGGGACAAGAAGCCGGTGCCCAGGTAACTGCAGGGACCCCCACCTACGCCAGGTCCGCCTAGGAGTCTCCTGTTTCTTATTCCTTATGATCTACTGCAGAGCGGTAAGTGGGCATTTTCATCCCATTTTACAGATGGGAAAACTGAGGCCCAGAGGCAAGGTAACATGTCCATAGTCATGCAGGGAGATTAGAGATCACACTGCCCCCCGACCAAAATAAAGCAGAGTTGAGTGAACGCAGCAGAGCCCAGCCAACCTTCACTGACCCTCCTAGGATGGTTTTAAAGCCATCCACAAATTCTTTGACACTTCTCCCATCAGGAGCTGGACTATAATTCTCCTCCCCTTGAATATGGCCTTAGTGACGCACTTCTAAGGAACAGAATGTGGCAGACAGGATGCTCAGTTTCTTCGGAGCTTAGGTCACGGAAGGTGACACAGTGTAATTCTCTGATGCTCACTCTTGGACCAGCTGCTGTGCTGTGAGGAAGTCCACGCCCCATGGAGAGGCCGTGGGCAGTTATTCAGGCTGCAGACCCCACTGCAGACCCAGACGGGATGGGCGTCACTGGGGTACAGCTCATGCAGTCGCCCAGGGCCCCCAGCTCAGAAGGACTCTGCCATCTTGGAATTGTTAATAATTATTGAACAAAGGGCCCACGTCTTCATTTTGCCCTAAACTCTGCGAATCACGTGGCCCATCCTGGACCCAGATGACAGCCATCATCTACCACACACGGGCGAGGAAGCCTTGGAAACAGCTCCGGCCCCAGCTACGGATTGGCTGAAAGACCGGAGTGAGGACAGCCCAGCTGAACCCAGCAACCCTAGAGCCACAGAAGATAATCCCGGTAAACGACCGCTGCTTTACACCACGAGGTGTGACGCAGCACATTAGAGATAACTCAGATGGCTTTTTCTAGATCCTCATCACATCAGGTGTGGGTAATAAGCACTTTGTCTCCCTCCGAAGTTCAGCAGGCATCAGCCTGGCGATGCTTGTTGTTGATTCATTTGGTTTTAAGCACCCAGGTGATGGTCATGAACGTGGATGGGCCAGAGAGAAGGTGTTGGGGAAATTCCCCACCTCTGGTTCGGTGCCCAGGGGCAGATATTTAAAACAGTTCATTACAATGAGCCTTCAAAGTTCAAGACACTGCAGAATGTTGCCAACAAAAACTGCTTCTATCAAGACAAAACCAACAACTCAGCCATAAAAAAGGACAAACTAATGCCATTTGCAGCAACATGGATGCAACTAGAGAGTATCATACTAAGTGAGGTAAGTCAAGACAGAGAAAGACAAATACCATATGATATCACTTATATGTGGAACCTAAAATATGGCACGAATGAACCTACCTACGAAACAGAGACTCACAGACAGAGACATTAGACTTGTGGTTGCCAAGGGAGAGGGTGGGAGAGAGAGGGATGGACTGGGAGTTTGGGATTAGCAGATGCAAACTATTACATATAGAATGGATAAACAACAAGGTCCTACTGTACAGCACAGGGGACTATATTGGATCTCCTGGGATAAACCATAATGGAAAAGAATATTTTAAAAAAGAATGTTGTATGTGTAAAACGGAGGCACTTTGCTGTACAGAAGAGATCAGCACAGCATTGTCAATCAACTAGGCTTCAACAACAACAAAAAAAGACAAAAACAACCTCCAATTCAGCCCCACCCCCCAAATAGGAGATGAGATGTCCGTGACCCACCTCCAGATCTCTCTCCAGGTCGTAGCTCTCCGGAGTCTGGAAGGCACTGGAATACACCTCCACAGCTTTGGCGTGGAAGACCATCTCAATGGTCACAAAGTCCGAAAAAATTTTCTATGGGGAGAGACGCCCAGGTCACATAAGTAACACTGTCAGGACTGTCCTGGGGTCATCTCGACATGGACCAATTGGGGGTGTGTGTGTGTGGCCGAGGGCTTAGTTGTCTTTGCAGGGAAGGTCCTAGGTGTGGAATTTCAATATATTATTTCTAATTAATTTATTTTTGTTGAACAGATAATGCATTCCCATAGTTCAAAAGCTGCCTTGCACAGAGATTGTTCCAGAAATGTGTGAGGCCTTGTGGACTTTCTGAGGGGCATCCTTTTCTCAGCTCTGTCAACCTGGGCTCCTCCACTCAGCTTGCGCTTCTCTCATTCTGAGGTCAGGTTGATGGCTACAAACTTTCAGCCTCTGTCACCCACGGGCTGTAAGTGGGTCTTATGGGAGGGGGAGGGGATGCTACTGGCCCAGAAGCCCCACAACCTGATAAGCCAGCTTGTCAAAACATTATTAGTGATGGAAACGTTGGCTTCTCTTGATCAGATGGTTCAGCTTGGCTCAGTAAGCTCTCACAGAGCTCCTACTGCGTGTCCGGCTCCAGTGGGGGCTTCTACCATGTGCTGGGCCCAGCACAAGCTCCTACTGTGTGCCAGACCTGAGGGGAAACTCCTGCTTTGTGTCAAGTCCAGCACAGGCTCCTACTGTGTGTCAGTCCCCTCCTACGTGCTGGGCCCAGCACGAGCTCCCACTGTGTGTAGGGCCCAGCACAAGCTCCCACTGTGTGCTGGGCTCAGCACAACCTCCCACTGTGTGTAGGGCCCAGCACAAGCTCCCACTGTGTGCTGGGCTCAGCACAAGCTCCTACACCGTGGCAGGCCCCAGCAGGAAACAGGCTTGCTGTTGGGGGCGGAGCCTGCAGTTTGGAGACACACCTCTTCCTGTCACGTGGGAAGCACCTGGAAGAGGCGGGCCAGAGGAAGCCGCTAGGCCGCCTGGGAGAAGGAAGGGGCGAGGGGGCCAAAGACTGTGCTGGAAATCCCTGGCTGCTGCCTCCTCCCGTCCTGCCCCCGGGAGGCCGTGCTGGTGACAGCAACAGGCCGCGTCCTGCCCTTTGCCGGCCTGTGGCCCCCGAGGAAATGACGTATCCTCTCAAGCCTCAGTTTATTCGTCTGCACAGGAAGGACAGGAGTGGTCCCAGTTCACAAAGCCCTACGAGAGATTCAGTGAGCGCCGCGGCTCTCGACCTGCGGGCCCCTCATCAACACCAGCCTCACCTGGGAGCTTGTCAGGGATGCACATTCTTCGCCCCACCCAGGCCCACTGGATGGGACGCCAGGGTGTGCCCCCCGTGTGCGTTTTAAGGAGACCGCCAGGGCATTTCTGACGCGCGCTCAGGTGAGTGAACCGCTGCTTGAAAGCATGGCTTACATTCTTTTTAGAGGAGCCAGAGAGTTATTTTGTAGGTACTTCATTAGAATCGTGACCTAAAACTGATAGAGTGGTAATGATTATTTCAAGTTTGGGCTTTTATCTCTTTTAACATTTGGAGGTTTGGATAAGCGTCTCTTACAAATGAATTCCCCCAATTTTAAAGGATGCCCATGTTAAAATGTATGCTTCTGCTGGCCGCCGACCGTGCAGAACCTTGTGTGCTCTCGCCGGCCTCGAAAACGTCAGGTGCTTGATAATGGTCTGCTGGTGCTTTTAGGTTCTGCCTGCAACGTGGATGCTTGAGCAGTAATTACCACTGTTTCACTCGCTTCGTTCGTTCATTCTTTTTCCCAATATTTACTGAGTACCCACCAAGTGCCAGGCCCTAGACGTGGTGCCCAGGACCCAGGAGGGGACGTGGCAGGCAGGGGGTCTGCTCTGTGGCTTCGACGTGCAGTATAGGAGGTGGCGTGGAGCAGTGAGATCTCCCCTGCTGTCCGCCATCACGGGGTCTGCGTGAACTCTGTCTCCCAAGAGCGTCAGCTCTGTGAGGACGGGGCCTTGCTTTGCTGGCTGTGGTGTCCCCAGCCTCAGGCATAGCGCCTGGCACACAGTAGGTGTGTATTCAACATCTGTGAGATTCACGAGTGAATTAAAGATACAATGAATCCACCCCCTGGGATAACTGCCCCCAGAGGGAGCGGAGCAGAGAGTGTTAACAGTTGGTCGGACCAGGTCTGGGGGTCCAGGTGAGTTTCTCTGAAGGACAGCAGGTGTGAACGCGATGCAGAGTAGGGGCAGAGCCCTCCTGGTAGAGGACACAGCCTGTGCAAAGGCCCTGAGGTATAAAAGGTCTTGGTGAACTCTTGGAGCGTGGAGTGGTGTGTCCAAGGGAAGGCTGGAGGGCGGGGCTGGGGCTTTGAAGCCTTGGGGAGGATTTCAGCCTTTCTCCTTGGAATGAGGGAAGCACAGGAGGGTGTTACACCCGGGAGTGACAAATCAGAGCTGCCTTTTGTGAGAGCCTTGGGGCAGCAGTTTGGAAAATGGACTAAAGTGGCAGGGGGGCAAGAGTGGGTGCGGGGGTCTCTGTGACCATCTTGCCCTTAAAGACGCTGCCTCCCTGAGGCCTCTTGTAAGAGCTGGGGCTCTGGGCCTGGGGCTCTGCGTGTGTCGGGGTGGAGAGAGGAAGGGTTTGTGCCCCTGGGGCTGTGCAGAGAAAAGGAGGAGGGTCCTGTGGATACTGTGCGGAAAGGCAGGGGCTGGGGGGACAGACTCTGCCCAGTTCTCCTGGTAGGCGGGGGAGCTTGGCCAGGTGCTGAGAGCGCACGGCTGCCACTGCTGGCTTCCGGGCAGGACAGCTGCCCAAGACAGCTGCCCAAGCAGCCGGCCTCTCCCCGCCGCGGCCAGGAGGAAGCCAGGATGAACTGTCCTGGGAGTCAGGGCCCTGAGAGCCGAGCAGGCACAAGCTCACACACACAGTGTCGCAGGGAACACACATGCACTCACACATACACAGGTGCACACCCGCCAGAGCTCACCTACGGGGCAGCCCAGAGTACTTCCGACCAGGGACCGACCACCCCCACCTGGAGGCCCTTCAGCTTCTGTTCCTGGAAGGCATCCACCATCTCCTCCAGCTGGTGGGAGGTGCGGCTGGCATCCACCCAGGCCCTCTGCATGCCGGTCTCCGCCTGGCCCCAGAGATACAAAGTGTCATGGGGGCTCCATTCTGGATCATTCTCTGTCCCTTCACCCCACCCTTGGGCCAGCTGTCCTGCGTCGTGGGAGTCTCTTGCCAATTGGTTTTGGAAGGAATGGCCGAGTGGGACCACAGCGAAAGGGGCAGCTGCTTCTTGGACAGACCCTCTTGTTAGCTGTGTGACCTCAGGCAAGTCACTGAACCCCTCTGAGCCTCAGTGTGCTTGCCTGCAAACAGGGGACGGCTGTAAGGCCTGCTTTGCAGGATTGTTGCAAGCATGAGAGTGGGCTCAGCTGAACTACTGTTATGACAGGTACTCCACGTTCGCTGATAATTAATTCCCGCATGTGGAACGATTTTAGGTAATTAACTTACTGGTTGCCTTGTTTGGCATCTATATGGCCTGACTCCACAGCAGGCCTGGCACCTGACGAAGCTGGATTTCAGAGCCTGACGCCTGCAGAGCTGAGTTGGGGGTTGCCCCTTAGCTCTCTGTGTGACCTTGGGCAAGTCACTTTTCTCAGTTTCCCCACCTAGAAGTACCCACCTCCTGTGAGCAGTGAGTAGGTAACCCTGACAAGGAAGCAGGCTGTGGAGGGGAGTCTCTCTCTGACTCGCTGAGTAGCATCGCTGATGGGACGGAAGCCAGGTCTCCTGAGCCCCGGCTGATGGCTGGCTGTCCCAGAGCCTCTGACTCTGCTGTCCTAAGCCCGGGGCCCTGCACACACCTGCCCAGGTAAAGCTCACCTCGGTGTTTTGTGAGGCCGTTCGTTACCTGCGTGCAAGCCTGCCTTCCCCAGACAGACTTGCGACACTCACCTGGGGCTGAAACAGGTGGCTTTAGGGATTCAGGTCAGCCAGCGGCCCCCGTGGAGGGGGCACGGTGATGCACGGCCCCGGCCTCAGTGCCCCCCGGCCCCTGCCTCAGGAAGGATACGATGGTCTGCCTCTGGGAAGGGGACTTCTGCCTGAGTCTCTCCAGTTTTTCCAGTTGTTTGAGCTCCTCGTTCCGGACGTGTTTGAATTCCTTGATCTCAGCCTATGGAAGGAGGAGGGTGCTTTCCTGGGGCCCCAGCCCCCCACTTGGCCCGCGCCGCAGCGCCGTGCTCACCTGGGTCTGCTTCATCTGCGCCGTAGAGCTTCCGGGGCTTGACCACCTTGGTCTCCAGCCTCTCGACCTGGGGGCACGCGGACATAACACAGTCAGAGCGGCTGGAGCCGGGCAGATGCTGGGGGGCTGCACGGCCACCGGCCTGCACTTACAGAGTGCCGTCTGCATGTCCGCAGCTGCACGGTGGGCCCTCCTCCCACCTTGGGGTTGCGAGCACGGGCGACACATTTCATCTCGCTGAGCCCTGTTTCCTGGCCTGTACAATGGGTATGAGGAGGGTACCCGCCCACGGTTTTTTAGCAACTGGTTGGGACCCAGCGCTATTTCGTTTCTCCAGACTGCCTTAGGTCTCACCAGGGATGCCGACAGAGCCACCTGGCACACGGACTAGCGGGGAATTCAGAGCTGACTGTGCTGTGCGGCATCCAGGGACATGGCAGGGTCAGCGAGGGGGACACCGCACGCCCCTGAGTCAGTGCCTGTGTGCCAAGCCTAAAACTAGACGTGAGGATAAACAATACCAGTACTGGTAACAGTGGTCACAGTTAAAGCTAGTGTGGGTTAAGCGCTTACCCTGTGGGTGTCACAGTAGAACAGGTGTAGGAGTCCCCCCAAGGGCTTCTTGAAACCCTGATCCCCAGGCACCACCCCAGAGCTTCTGACTCAGCAGGTCCAGGGTGCAGCCCAAGAATCTGCCTTTTTCTGACAGGTTCCCAGGTGAGGCTGGTGCCTGGAGGATGGGGTCCCCTGAGAGTCGGGTTTGCCCGATGGGCCAGGGGAGCTGGAGTCCCCACCCAGCCCCTTCCTCCTCCATTATGGCTTATGGCTCTTGTAAACGCAAACCTAAAGAAGAAATAATTTTTTCCCAAGTGCTGAAAGGGAAAGGGACTTATCCCTTCCCTTTCCGTGCAGTATTCCTTTGAGAAAACATGCAGTTGTAAATCCTTTCTCTGTCCCTTTGAGATGGATATAAAGCCTTTAAAAACTGAAGAAGCCTCTGGCTGGTTTTACAACCAGGAAAGCCCAGTCATCTCTGAACTGTAAACTTGGGGAGCACAGCGTCTCCAGGGAGTTTGCCTGGTGCCCGGCTCCCAGCTGTACCTACCTGCTTGTCAGAGAGAGGTGAGGTTTTAGTTTTCTTTGGATAAAGATGATTAGCCAGCCCAGGTGGCCACCCAGTCGCCAGGTGGAATTAGGAAGTCCTGTGTGACAAAGGGTGCTGTCCCCTTCCCTGTCCTCAGGGGGAGTGAGGTTTCTCTGTCTTTGCCATCACTTATTCAATCGCCTGTGATGTGCATTACCTCTGACTTAACGCTTATTCAATAGAAAACTGTTTCATTCTTTTGTACCATCGCAGAGAGGATTTTTCTGGGCTGGCTGGAGTTTTGTTTTATTTTATTTTTATTATTGTTTTTTTTTTATTCCAAACTCCTAACCCTTCCGTCTCCAATGCTCCCTCCCCCTTGGCAACCACAAGTCTGTTCTCTATGTCTGTGAGTCTGTTTCTGTTTCATAGTTCATTTGTGTCATATTTTAGATTCCACGTGGAAGTAGTGATGTCATATGGTATTTGTCTTTATCTGTCTGACTTACTTCACTTAGTATGATCATCTCTAGGTCCGTCCGTGTTGCTGCAAATGGCATTATTTCCTTCTTTTTTATGGCTGAGTAATATTCCATTGTATATACGCCCCATGGGGATTTTGATTTTTAATTCTTTCCCTAACTCCCTGCAGCCTCCTTGCCCTCCACAAGCCTCCAGGCTCTCAGTCCTGTAAACTGCGGTGTCACCCTGGGGAGGGAGTGATGTGAGCGTCCTCACTCTGGGGACACCTTTGGAGGAGATGCGTCCGCTGACTGTGGACCCTGCCGGCCGGCTCCAACTCTCAGATCCCCCCGGGAAATGGGTCCGCTGGGGCCACTCGCTCCCCTCGGCCTGCCAGGTCCTCGGCGAAGTTCCTCAGGGCGGCCCGCATCTCCGGGTTCTCCGTGTTGGTGAAGTCGATGAGCTGCTTGACCAGTTGGTCGGCTTGTCACGCAGCCGGGCTGTCTTGCGGGTGTAGGCGGCCAGCAGCGAGTAGAACTGGCTGAAGCACTTCTCAGCGTTGGCCACTGTGTCCCCCGTCACCCACACCTGCTGTCCCTGGGGAGGTGGGGGTCTGAGGAGCCATTCTGGGCACGGACGCCCAGCCAGGCCACGACAGCGAAACAGGGGTCACCCACCCACCGCCCTCCTCCTAGGTGGCAAACCCAGGCCAGGCGTCCGGTCCCCAGGATAATGCCCAAAGTCCCCGGGTCAGGCCGTCAAGGCAGATGCGGGAGACCAATGGGGTCACAGGGCTGGTCAGTGGCCGGGCAGGAGTGCAAACATGGGCTTGGCTCCTAACCTGGCCTTTCCCACCCGGGGGCCCTTACAGGGGCTTTATCTTCCCAGCAGAGTTGGTCTGTATTCCTCTTCTCTCTGAAATCCCCAGATTCTATCTTTTCCCCGAGCTGTTGACATTCTCTCCCTTCTCTACATCGTAAATCTTTATTAATAAACTTTTTTGGGCGGTGGGGGGACCAGTTTTAGGTTTACAGAAAAGCTGAGTGGAAAGTACACAGGGTTCCTACATACCCCCTCCCCGGCGCTCAGGGTTTCCCTATCATCAACCGCTTCCCTTTAGTGCCTGACCTCTGTTACCAAAGGTGCACCCATAGTGACACATTCTTAGTAACTAAAGTCCTTCGTTTACATGAAGGTTCCCTCTTGGTGTCCTGCATGCCGTGGATTTTGACAGGCGCCATCGTCAGTACCCTGCCTCCACCTTCACAGTGTCGCAGAGAACTCTCGCTGCCCTGAGGACGCCGTCCTCCGCCCGTGGGTCCCTCCTCCCTCCCCCAGCCCTGAACCTTTAGTGTGTCCTCCTGGCAGGCCGTTTATCACCATGTATCGCTTCCTGTTGTGCTTGGTTCCTCTCACCCTCTGCATCTTTCTGGGTCGGGCTTGCGGGGAGCGTGCTGACTCATCTTTATGTGCCGCTAGCCTGGGGCCTGCCCATCGCAGGTGTTCCATGAAAAAATACGGAGTGAGTGAAGGACCTGCTGGATTTCATCTTCCCGAGACAGTAAAGGGGGCACAGCCTCAGACAGTCGCCTTGCTCTCGCACCACTGCACCCTCTCCTTGCCCCTCGTCCCACCCAGGTGGTCACTGCCCCATCCTCTCTCTGTATGACCAAAGCCCCCAGCCTGTGCGTCCCTCCAATCACATCTCTAAAGCTGGAAGCTGAGAGGAGGGCCCTTTGTCCTCCTGACAAACCCGAACTGCTGCAGCCCTTTACGGTTTGCAGTGCGCATCGTGGGTGTTACCCTGCAAACAAGGTAAACGGAGACCAGAGAGGTGCAGCATCTTGCTCCAGGTCACACAGCCGGCCGCAATCCCTGTCCCTCCACATGGGGTCCTTGGACCCCCTCAGTCAGAATCGCCTGGGACACAAGTTAAGCCTGTAGAATCCCAGCCCACTCTCCGCCAGACTCCCTGTGAGCGAGGTCCAGGGGGCTGCATTTTTAAAGAAGCCCATCAGGTGGTCCAGGGGCACCCTCGAGTTTGTGAGCCCCAGAGGAGCCAGGCGTGGAAACAGCTGGGTAAGGGGCAAGTTGAGAAGGCAGTGATAGATTCAGGCTGCAGGCAGTGGGGTCGGAGACGATTTCACAGAGGGGGTGATGCCTGATGGGGTTTTGAGGTATGAAGAGGGGTTTCCCAGGTAGAGATGAGTGAGGGAAGTTGGGGTGGCCCCTGTGAATTTAGCTACCCCAGGGCTGTGGGCAAAAATGCTGGAGAAGCAGACAGAGGCCAGATTCTGGAAGCCTCCATGGTCTCTAGACCTCCAGGTGGGCGTGGTGTGGGCGGGAGAGCATCCTTACCACTGCCCCCTGCCCCAGCAGTCCAGGCGGCCCCATCTGTCTTGGTGCGTCTGGCCCCGAAAACCCGGCCGCCCCCTCCCTCCCAACCCAGGCCAGCGTGGGGCTGCTCACCTGGAGAGAACGATGTTCATTGTGGCTGGAGACAGCAGCTGTCCTGGTCCTGGGGTCCAGGGCCCCAGGGGTCCCACAGGCCTGGGAGAAGCCACACGGGGCTGGGTGCAGCTGCGTGGTCCTGGCTCAAGGGATGCTGCCACCTGGTTACCAGGCGACGTGGCCACCTGCAGTCACCTTGGGAGGAGCCTCCGCTGGTCACTAAGGCAACCTCTCCCCGGGCCAGCCTCCCCTAGCGGATTAGGAGGCCTCAACCAGCCTTGTGCTGGCCCAGGTGGGGTCGCCGAGAGGCTCCCACTCTCCCGGTGAAGATGGAGGTTCTTGTGGACCTGGCAGCGCTGGGGTTCCCCAGGAGGTGCGGGGACCGGGCTTAGGGCTGCTGGCCCTGCGCCCAGCTGTGCTCGTGGGCCGTATTGCTGGGGCTCCGCCTCCGAGAAGGCCACGCGGCCTTTCCCAGGCTCCTAGGAGACTTGGCTACTCAGGGGGGGGTTGCGAAAAAGCACAGCGAATCGCTGCTCGGCGCTGAATCGAGGGGACAGGGCACCAGCCCACAGGGACATCTTCAACGCGTTAATCATCATTTTACTGGCCTTTCCCCCCTTATAAACACTATCTGCTCATTGCTAGAAAAGCAAGAAAACAACGATAACACAAAAAGAAGAAAATAGAACGGCACATACAAAACTGTGCTAACTGAAGTACGGTACATTTTGCTCATTGTAGGATGTGTGCAATTCAGTGCATCTCCGTTTTACCTGAAGGAAAGAAATAGGCAACTAACAACCCCAACAGTAAGAGATTGGGCGGGAAGAGGGGAAGGTAGAAAAGCAGCATGTTGGTAACTTGCCATGGAGGACCCGCTGCACAAGTCTGTTCACTTTGTATACGTCTGAAGGTCTTTATAACGAAGTGTGTGTTTGTTTTTTTTAAAGTGTATATGAAAGCGAGGACTTTATTTTGATTGAAATACAGTTGATTTACAGTGTTGTATTCGTCTCTGGTGTACAGCATGGTGATATGCACACACACAAACACACAGACACTCTTTTTCAGATTCTTTTCCAGTATAGTTTTTTACAAGATATTGAATATAGTTCCCTGTGCTGTACAGTAGGTCCTTGATAGTTATCTCTTTTATATATAGGAGTGTGTCTGTTAATCCCATACTCCTTATTTATCCCTCCCCTCCTTTCCCCTTTGGTAACCATAAGTTTGTTTTCTATGCCTGTGGGTCTGTTTCTGTTTTGTAAATAAGTTCCTTTGTATATTTTTTTAGATTCCCCATGTAAGTGATATCATATGATATTTGTCTTTTCTCTGTTTGACTTACTTCACTTAGTATGATAATCTCTAGGTCCATCCATGTTGCTGCAAAGGGCATTATTTTGTTTTTTTTTATGGCTGAGTAATATTCCATTGTATATATGTACCACACCTTCTTTATCCATTCCTCTGTTGATGGACACTTAGGTTGCTTCCATGTCGTGGCTATTATGAATAGTGCTGCTATGAACATTGCGGTGCATGCATCTTTTCAAATTATAGTTTTCTCCGGATATATGCCCAGGAGTGGGATTGCTGGATCCTATGGTAGGTCTGTTTTCAGTTTTGTAAGGAACCTCCATACTGTTCTCCACCGTGGCTGCACCAACTTACATTCTCACCAGCATTGTAGGAGGGTTCCCTTTTCTCCACACCCTGAAAGCGAGGACTTTAGAGTCAGCTAAATACAGGTTCAAATCCCAGCCCTGCTGTGTGACCTTAGGCAAATCAGCTGACCTCTCTGGGCGGCAGTCTTCTCCCTGGTAAAATGGGACCGTGGCCCTCTTTCCTTGCCTTGTTGTTAGGGGAAATAAGTCCCTGGTGCATCAGTAAGGAGACGGCAGGGCAGCCCCCAGGGCAATTCCTGGCCTGTCTGCCCACAGTGGCGCCAGCCCTGGGGTGGCTGGTCCTGTGCTGGTTACCTGTCCCTCCCCCCACATCTCTGCGTGGTCCCTTTATCACCCCATACGTCCCTTTGCACAAGCTCAGTGCTCCCTGTGGGCCCTGAGCAATGCATACACATAACTCAGCTTCTTCCTGTCTGGGGCATGTCACCTCCCCTGACTTCCCACACGGTGGCCCTGACCGGTGCCCCAAGGCTCTGCCAGTCACTGTGCAGGTCTTCCCTGGATGAGGCCGCGGAAGGGGCTCCTGTGTCCCTGCTCTGTGCGGAGCGGCCGTCCTGGTACCGGTCAGATCCCTTGCACGCTCTCGGCTCCGTCTCTCTCGGGGGCTGCACCGCACTGAATAGTGTGCCCCCCAAATGCACGTCCACCCAGGACCTCAGAATGTGACCTTATTTGGAAATAGGGTCTTTGCAGATGTCATTAGCTGAGCTGAGCCATCCTGGAGCAGGACAGGCTCTGGTCCAACGACTGGGGTCTTGTAAAAAGAGGAAGCAGACACACAGGGAAGATGGCCACGTGACAGCAGGGGCGGAGACCGGCGGGATGTGGCTCTGAGCTACGCCTGGCGTCCCTCGCTTCCTGCACATTTGGTGAAAAGCTTCAGCTCCATCCCTGGGCCTCGTTCTATCCCTTAGGTAGGATTTCTCTCCCTCCCTCCTTCCCTCTGTCTCTTTCCAACGTCATTAACGTTTCATGCAGGTAATTCTCATCACAACAGCAACAATAATAATACCTGCGGGGCAGCTCTGGGCCTATCCTGCTCCAAGCCCCACACTCATTCACTCATACACTCAGAAAACAGAATCGGCGTTTTCTTACCAAATGTGGGATTTTTTAAAAGTTGGAGTTGGGAATCAGCAGGCCAACGTTAATTGGAGACGTGACATTTCACTTTAAAATGCAACCTTTTCAGTTAGCGAACTGCGGTGGTCAGTCTTCTGTGTCATCTCAGCTGGGCCATCGTGACCCACCGTTTCATCCAACACGAACGCGTGGGTTGCTGGGAAGGCACTGGGGGATGCGGTCGGCCTTGCAGTCAGTTGGCTTGAAGTAAAGGACCTGACCCTCAGTGACATGGCGGGGTGGGAGGGCCGCGGGGCTTCACCCCTTCACCACTGGGAGATCCTAGGAGCAAAAGTGAGGTTTCCAGGAGCTTCAGCTCCTGCCTGAGTTTCCAGCCCGCCCTTCGGACTTCGGACTTGCCAGCCCCACATCACGTGAGCCAGTTCCTTAAAATAAATCTCCTCATATATTCAGTTGGTTCTGTTTCCCGGGAGCACCCACCTCTTGTAGGACTAGGAGAGGCCGCAAAGCCATTTCAGGTTTCTGGGGCTCCGGAAGTGTGAGTTCAGTGTTATAAGCAACGACCACCAGAGGGCAGCAGAGACCCCCTAATGGGGAATTACCACGTGGAGGGCAGAGTGGGAGGTGACCCCAGGAAACGCACCAGAGGAAGCCCGTGCCTTCAGGCAAGACGGGAAAAGGAGCAGCTGATGGAGAGAAAGGGCAGTGGGTCATTCATGAACTTAAAGAACTTTAAAGAACGGAGACCACTTTCTAGTAGGGCTACACGGAGACATCTTGTGGCCAGAGAGAGAAAAGCCAAGAGACTGGGGAGAGGGGGGTGCAGGGGCTGGGTGGGGAGAGAGCCTCCCCCTCCTTCCACCCTCCCCCTCCCTCCCCTCCCTCCCCTCCCTCCCC